ATCAAAACACCGTGGTTCAAATTTAGGGAGTTTGATGTTCCTATTATCCCTGAACGGCGAAACAGTAACATCAACCATGTCATGCTTAACATCAGACACATCGTTACAATTAACAGACAAGTCACCATGACTTACTTTCCTGTTTGCATCCAAGACGCTCTGTCCCTTCTTTGACCCAGGCATTGTTGAACTTGAACCAATTCCAAAAACGTTCCAGATATTGCTTGTTCAAAGAGGACTTGACCGGCACCAGGAAAGATGAACGGTGACTATCCAAACTGTCACCGACTGTCTGAATCCGCCAGAATCTGTTTCTACCGTCAGAAACTGTCAGCCACGTCTTATAAACCGTTAATGCCCAGCTCTTGCTACGCTCGGGCCCACGCTGTTCCTTGAAGTTTCTCAGAAACGCTTAGTAAGAACGGACGAAAAAACCAAAAGACCAATTGGTGACTCGATGATTCTTTATTGTTACACCAACATATAAACAATGTTATAACTAAGGTCTGTGAACAAATATTACAATAATAAATCACAATATTACTTCTGACGGTTTACTGCTGACTTCTTTCTGAACAGCGACCGATGAGACGATGACTGGCAGATTGATGCCTCCGCGAAAATTGGGGAAGTTGGTTTTGAGCAAACAACCATGAATTGATCGTTCAATCTTCAGCTACATTGACAGCTTGTCTTACGGGTTCTATTCTTCCACATCTGAAAATTTACTTCTCGCTGGAATACCACTTATCTGCCTCACGGTAAAATTTTTATTTACTCACTACAATGCTTCATTTGATCTTAACTAACCAGGCCTTTAATTAAGCTAAAACTTACCCTTTGTTCACATTTGTTGCTTGCCCAAAGTCTGGTTGTTTTGACTAAGAGCACAACACCAATATTTGAACAAAGCTACTTCTTCATCGAAAATATCATAGTTTCCATGCTTAGGCCAATGTGGTTAGCATATCGCTGATTTCAAAAGAACGCATCGATGAACTATAATTCAAGGATTCTGCACACGACAAAGTTATGTAATAAAATTGACTTCGAGCTTTTTTTTCCGAAGCACTTATAACCCATCCACCAAAGACCTGGTTTTTTGTTAATGCGAAGACAATACTTCTGTATTTCCCGATATGTTGCACTCACTGACAACCTAGCAGATTTTTCCAACTGTGAACAGAAATGATTGTACATAAGTGAAAAGGCTATTTTGTACTATTGGTATTAACATTTATCAAGTGTATGTATAATTTCCAGCGTACATGTAAAACATATTATGCTATCGACTGTAAATTGTGACTGAACAATATGGTTCTATTTCTGTAACAATTTGATGAGGCCTGTAAACTGGCGTCCCGCATGTACTGCATTGTGAGAATAAATTTATTTATTTTTTAATTAAACTTTGCAAATGTATACCATTATTTCAAGTACTATGTAGCTTCTTCTTCTTGAATTTATCTTGTAAATATACTTCCAATAATGTATTATTCATAATTGCATTTTATACCACTTTGCAGCTGCGCAGAATTTTCTTCTCTTCCAGAAATAGCGTTCAGTCACATGGCGGCGTAGCACTCGCACAGGTATACGCTGTTCACTGGTTGACCATAACTATCAGCGGGGAACGGAAAGAAGTTTGGGTTGTCGCTCAACTTTGATGGTGACATTAGTAAATGGTTTACAATTTAACATTTATAAGAACCTGTTCTGACTGCGTGTACAGTAATTGAACAACTTAAACTTTTGAAAAAGTATTAATTTATGATACTTTGGGATTGTAATTTATAAAATTACTGATCGTTTATGTGAAAATCGCATGCATTTCTTGTAAACTTACTCGTTTATACGAAATATAAATTATTATTATTTTTGTCGGCCTAAAGTTTTCTGTCACATAGTGCAGTCCACCGCTAGCAGGAACACTATCGAAAACAGATGGCATTCTTGTCTTACTCCTGTCTTTACTACGAACGCTTCAGTGAGATTTTCCTTAACATTTTGTATCGCATTCTAGGTTCTGGGTGCGACTGATAAAGGTTTTAGGCTTTCCGTAGAAGCAGATTCTGAATCAATTCATGGTCAACACTATCGAGGGCTTTTTCAAAGCCGATGGAGTTTGGGTAGAGATTTGATGGCCATTCCATTCCTTTTTCGATGATGATGCGTGGCAATTTACTTTCAGTCGCATTTGATTTGCTTTCAGAGATTCCAGTCTGATCTGGGCGTCATTTTGCATCCACAGGTTCCCTTAGTTTTGCCAGGATGGTGTGACTTTATATATGGCTTGGCATGGACAGTAGCTTGATTTCAGATTGGTTCAAAAGCTCAATTTCGTCTTCTGTGGCGATATGGCAAGGTAGTCCCCTATTCAAGCTCTCCGTAATAGTGACGTAAGAATATACACTGAAGTCATTGGGTTCGTTCTCAATTACTACGAGAGGAATTCCATCTGGTCCCGCTGCCTTTCCAGACTTTAGAATCTTTATAACATTCGGTCTTTGTCGAAATTTTAAATTTCACTGGCAGTTTTAATTCCGTTTGTGTCGGTTCTAGAAAATTTCCAAGCTTTTGGCTGAATCGAGTCCTTAGAAGTGATCCACTCACTGTTTTCTTTGCTTCCCCCCCTCTGGTAATTAGGTTCCCTTCTTTGTCTTTCCTCGGTTTTATCTATTATGATCTCTTCCCGGACAGCAGACTGGTTATCTGGGATGATCGACTGATGTCTCTCTTACCCGCAACCTGATCTGCTGCAACTGACAGATTGTAGAGGAATCGTCCTTTGTCTTTCCTAGCACTCTTTTCCACATTCATATTTAATGCATCGTATACCTAACTCAATGCCTCCTCTGGTCGTCCATCTTCGCACCAGTTCATCATCTATTTCACGTCATCTCTACTAAGCTTCCGTATTTCCGTAGAGTCAATTCCTATCTTGCGTCGTCTTCTCACCTAAGACTGGCGATACAGGTTTCCTTTAACGCCGTTTTCAGGGAGTTCTGGTTGTCTGCAAAGGACATTCTAGCGAGCTCAATAACAGAACAAGCACGTTACTTGGATATGCAATTAAAGTCCACGACTACAAATTATTTATATAAACCACAGAAGCGTTCAACGCTGGAGTCGTTTCTGCTGGTAGACGCTGTGCCCCGGTTGTAGAATAGTCTTCGGATGAAGGCTATTTCAGATTGTACTTGGAAGTTATCTATATTCCAACATGAAACGTTTTAAACGCAATTCGTGAACAGTGTTTCTAATCTCAATATCTAACAAAAGAATGCACAGTCGTATTGTTACAGACTCCACAACTCTCGATGATAGCATATAATGACTCCGACTTTGCTCTAGTGGCTGCAGTAAATGTGTAATTTGTAGTATTTTCCTTCAGTTACTGGGTGCCGAACTTCAGCCTCTTTGATGGCCTTTAACGCGACCCTGAAATCTCCTTGCACCAGATGATTCTCCGAGGCTACACCCTCTTCTCTTCTCAATATTTTGTCCTTTAGGCTGCGTCTCCACTTTCTTGAGACCGAGGTGAAGTATACTTAATTTTTGGAATGTCCGTGATAATTCCAAATGTTTGAAAGGACGTGCATCAGCTAACGTGGATGTTCAAGGAAATATCCAAGAAATAAAGGATAATGACAAAACATGGAAGCTATCTCATATGCAGATGTAAGTGTAGATCCTCCAACTCATTAAGTACCTGTTCTATTTGCACCATAGACAGGAATAAATATATATTATATTATTATTAAAATGAACAACAGACTGATAGAGAAAAAACGAAATATATTTTTGGGTCAGAAATGTGATGTATTAGTGACTACTTAAGTAGCTGGGGGGAGTGCAAGAACAACTGAAAGTAGGACCACAGCGTGCCAACTGTAGTGGACACCTGACAGCGTAAATTATGTCTGACCAGTGGACTTAAATAGCGAAGGTCTGCAACGTGTGTTGGCTGATGAATGCTGTGGAATAATAGTTTTAGAAATTTACCGCAACAGATGAAATTTCTTTTGCAGTTGAATCAACTTTAGCTGAGTTTTGTGATATGTGATTCGTGTTGACATTTTCCAGGCGTGACCTTGTATGAAGCTGAACCGAATGTCCTGTAGAATATATGAACGGTTTCATATATATGGTGGCTAGCAAAAACTTCCTCCTCTTATGAATTTGCGGAAACATCTTAGGGGGTTTTAGGAAGCCAGTTATTTACGCTGCTTAGATGACTCTGAGCCCATTTATGTTTGGCTTCAGCTGGAAATAATGCTCATGCCTGCTTTGCGGTCACCTATCCTGCTGGACCTGTGCTTTTGCCATGATTAGACTTCTAATGGTTATGTCCTCTGACTAAATGATTCAGTTATCAGATTAAATCTTAGACCATTCAGTCATACTCATTTTAACAGTTTCTCTTCTACAATTCGGTTACCATGTTTCATCCTGTAGCTGCGCGAACGAGTAAAGTTGATGATGCTAAACTTAAGTTCTTAACATCCCAGAGGCAAAACAAAAACTCTATTCCCATTGTATTAGTATGGTTGCGTTTAAAAATTTATTTTGTAAAAACTTACATGTCGCACACTGATAAGTTATCTTAAACGGTGGTGCAAGTAACTGCAAATAAGTTGCCTTAAAGACTTGAAATTATATTGTTAAATATTGTGAACAACCACTTGCTCCAGAAAGACATCCATTCTGCCAAGTTTAGTCATAGGGGTTGCTGCTTCCAGTCTCTGAGTATAAGAATATTTCCTATTTAAGAATATTTCATATTTCCTTAAAAAATTAGCGACAATGAAAAAAAGAAAAGCTACGGTTGTCAAGGTACAGCTTATATTGCAGAAGCTCAGAATGGAGGGAAATGAGTTTGGTACTCCTGCGTCAGAATTTTGAGTTCCGTAACTCAGCAACTGGGTGACCTTCAGGTTACAGGTCACAGAAGGCGCTTAGTTTAGTTCCTGGACATGCTTTGTAATTTGTGATCCAGGATGGCCCTTCTTGTGTATGAAGTTCATCCCCACGTAGCATTGCTGCGTGAAATCACCGGCGAAAATTTCGAGGAATACATTTTTGATGATTCAGACGACGAAAGTTACTTGAAAAGCCTTGACCCCAAAAACTGGAAAGATCAGGATCACTATGCAGTTTTAGGTCTAAGGAAAAAGCGTTTCAATGCTACCCCAGATGATATAAGAAAAGCTTGTATGTTAACCTTCATATTATATTGTCTCAGACCGCAGGAAAATATTGGATCACCACCCTGACAAACGTCGAAGCAAGGGTGAACAAGTTGCAGACGAAAAACATGATTACTTTTCTTGCATTACCATAGGTTAGTTTAGGCTTCCATTTTGTTATCATTTTACATATGCCGTGATGAGTGTGTATCCTTTAGCCATGTCAGACCATATGCAGACACCTGGTCTTATGTACGCAATGAGCTGCAATCTAACTACTTTTGTTGAGCTTATGGTAATCCAATATGACCGATTTCTCTCAGCTCCTGTTCCAGGAGTATGGGTGAAAGTGACATCACCTTTTATTTTTGGAACCGTATCCATCCTAATGCACTATAGTTGCTTACAGAATATCAAATAATTAGCGTATTTTTTGTGACTTCTTATGTTCTAATTCACTACTCTAAAATGTACATTAAGTGTATGTATTAAAAGCTCTTGATCGTAGATGCCTCTGTTCCATTATTCGCTTTAGTTACATTAATCACCTGTGCGTCGGTGGCACAGCGTTTAGGACTCTCGCCTGCCATGCACATGTTCTGGTGTTTGATCCCCTGCCGACGCACACTTGATATCAATGATCGGCCTGCAAAATTTGGGCTACCGATATCACGTCCTGAAATTTCCATACTTGTGCCAGAAATACAGTGGGGAATCAAGTAATTATAAAAGAAAAATGGTGTTAGGTGAGGAAGGTGAATCACTCAAGTAAGGATTCAATTCTCACAGGATTAGTTTTTCATGCGTTACGCACACTGAGCCGTTGCTGTGGCACGCAGTATCAGTTTATTTAGGACTACGTTGAAAAATAGTCTATGGTCAAACCAAAGCTCATCACCAATCCATAAAACTTGTAGCTTTTTATCGGAGCCAACTAAGGTTCTTTAGATTCTTAAAATTATTCGTCGGAGGCTTTTCACGACTGGGCTTTAAACACTTCACATAAATGCATACTTTTTGCCATCTAAATTCTAAAAATTTCAACTAGCATTCATTTATCTGCTGTTTCTTTCATCTTCCTCCAATATAAAGTGGTCATCTTTGTGATGCTCTGAAGCGTAACAACTAGGATTGGAGGATTGTGCAAACTTCTTCTCTTAACCATTATTTACGCCTAATTTAGCAAAATCCTTTGCTCATATTTCGTTAGTTTCTGACTGAATAACATTTTAATCTTTCATAGTGTGACTACCAATAGCGTAAAATTCCTCTTTCAAAGTAGTGAAAAAACTTTTCCAAAGTTCTTATTTGAAGTAATTACTAATTTTTCTTGAATAGCTTTTGAAATACTGGGAAATCCAAGCAAACGTCTTGCGTACGACAGCGTAGATCCGGTTGCTGTAGACGATTCAATTCCAACCTTAGGCGAAATCAAGTCCAACTTCTTCACTACGTTGGGGAATTTCTTCTATCAGAAATCTAGGTAATGCATTTTGTATACTTGCTTCTAACACTTCAAGATGGTCTAAAAGGCAACCTACGCCTCATCTCGGAAACAGTCTAACAGATATTGAAGACGTCCTTAAATTTTATGACTTTTGGTGAGTTCAATAACTAATTTCACATATATATACGTACATATGCTGGGTATATGCTGTGCTAAGACAGTTTAGTATTCAATTATTGATTATAATTTGAGTGTTTTTTGTATTACGTAAGGAAGTTATATTTTATTTGTTTGACTGTCTTCTCAGTCATGCTTCTGTTGTCACATATTCCAAAGCGGCTATGGTTAACTCAACGTGATTATTTCCACAAAAGCGCATTAGTCCAAGTTGCCACGCCTTAGAGAGCATACATGAAAGTGGGGAAAAATTTAAAGAATATCAGAATAGAACTTGTGCACTGTGGGAGAGTAATTTAACACTGAAACATGACCTTTGAAATTAGAAGATATGAAAAGAGTAATAATTTCAAACTTAAGTGCCGTTGTTTAACCGCTCACGCTAGGTGAAGCAACAAAGTAACAATGAGGTTATACAGTAATATATACTGATTAGTATACTGTATAACGCTATGAGACTTTATCAGAATAAATTTTATTCACAATGGAAAACTTAGTGAAACTACAATTGAAGGTGTGTAAAAGAGGATAGTTAAATTTTCCGGAATCTCAGTGATAGAATGAAGTGGATACGTTTGCTCCCTTGCGTATAATTTTGGGCTATGTCACAAACAGTCTCGAATCACTGGTTCGTAGCATCGTGAAGATGCTGTCCAGGCAGTCTACATCTACCTATATGTCACAAACCAAAGTCAAAGACTTCGTTGACCTGTGACGTGTTTTGTTCTCACCACCATATCCAGTTTATTTACATTTTAATTAGCACTGCTCGTCTAGTGTAGTGGTTGTCTGAACTGCAAAATGTTTCCCATACATCAGAATCAGTGCAGCTTCACAATCTAATCAGTTGACTTTCTGTGCCTAACCTCATTCTTACTTAGTTGCTTCATCTAGTGTGAGCAGTTAAACAACGGCAGTTAAGTTTGAAATTATTAATCTTTTCATATCTTCTAATTTCAGAGGTCGTTTCACAGTGTTAAGGACCGACCAAACTACTGCACACTACACACTTTAACAAACATCTGATAAACAATATGATGCCAAAACGTGATGCGAATTGATAAACTTCAAGTGCTGACCTTTTTTGGCGTTCAGTCTAAACTAATGCAACTCCCTAAATAAAAGAAATATCTGATGCATTGAACTCCTAGTTTAAAACTAGTATTTGGTACAGACCAGTACTTTATAATCATCTCACTTTTGGAAGGTGAACCGCTTGCCAAATGTACCCAGTACATTTGTACACCTTGAGCAGCAATCTTCGTATGTTTGGCATGCGATTCGCCCCTACAAAATGTAAGATGCTGCTACAGGACTGGACCACGTCAACTCCTAACTTAGTGATAGGGAGTGAAGTGATAGAACATGTTGACCACTTCACCTATTTGGGAAGTTGTATTAGCACCGACGGACTGATTAGCGATGAAATCTCAGCACGGATCCGAAAAGCTCGAGCTGCTTTCGCTGACTTACACCGTCTCTGGCGTAGGCGTGACATCCGGTTATCAACCAAGGGACGTGTGTACTGCTCAGCAGTTCGCTCCGTCCTTCTCTATGGCTCTGAAACATGGCCAATACGAGTTGAAGACATGAAAAGGTTGACTGCTTTCGATCATAGATGTCTGCGATCTCTGTCTCACGTTAGGTGGTTTAATAAGGTAAGTAATGTTGACGTCAGGTGTAGAGTGTTGGGCAAAGAGGGAAAATCAATCAACGAGGCTATAAAGTTACATAGATTGAGATGGCTAGGTCGGTCACGTGGTGCGCATGCCTAACCGTCGCCTCCCCCGACGACGGGCATTACTAGCTGATATAGGTGCAGGTTGGAAAAGAGCCAGTGGTGTCCAAACAAAAACATGGCCTCATCAATCCATGAAATCCTTGACAGTTAAACTGAGTCGGTCAGGTAGGGAGATGCAGACTTCCGGGTTGGGGCCCTCGGGACTCTAGGAATCAATGGCTGGAGACAATAGGTGACATGGCTCAAAATCGTTGTCAATGGCCAGCGTAGATGTATTCAGTCTCTGTAATCTTTCATATTCCTTTCTACCATTACCCATTCTGTTTCACTCTTATACTTGTCAGACTGTATTGATTCTCTTCACTCATCTTCTTGTCTACCTCTGTGTGCTATTTGGAACGTGGCAACTGGAACTACTGCACCTCGGTGCCAAGTTCTATGTTGAATCCAGACAGACCCAGTCTTGTTCATGTTGTTGAGATAACCACATTTTGTCAAGATCTTTATTTAGAAGGGCTGTGCTAGTACATTGTAAATCACCGAGATTTATTTCCTAACAGGTTGATCCATGAGAAATATAAGTTGATCATATTCATACCCATAAGTATATCTACAAATAAAAAGGTTAGATTGAACATCCTTGACGGGCAGCTGGAAAATATGACTTGTTTCGGTGTCTCAGATGAAAATTCTAGTATATCTTCTGAATCTATCACTAACTACTAAAAGTGAATGTGTGCGGAATACCGTTCGCGCTTAGTGCAACTGTGAACATTATGATCCCATAGAAGAGGTCATAGCCAATCGGCTGTTTAGGTTTGAGTTCAAATCAATATAAACACTAACTTATGTATGTTTCACATTTTGAAGCTGCCATTTTTCCAAATTTCAGTGAAATCTTTAAACATTTTCACTATTTTCTGACCGTTTCAACCAGTGGGTCGAGTCGAACCTCCTATCCACCGAAGTTTTGGTAGCCGTCACACACCAGGTGCAATTGAAATCAAAGTACGTGGATGCATATGTGGTTGTAGAGATATATTCCTCGAAACTCAAAACTTATATTCTCAAGCGTGGATAGATGTTTGAATATCAGAAATCGAGTCTGTATTCACTTACTTCTAAAATAGTAACTTGCTTTTCAGAGCAAGTCCCTACTCGTATTTGAGGACGATGGATTTGGAAACTATCATTTACAGTATACAACTAATGACGTCAATGAGAGTATCATTTTTGATGTTGTTACAACTCATATTATACAAACTCATATCATGGTTAACTGGAAGCATAATCAAATTTTTCCTTAGTGTAGATTCACATAAATCACATTTCAAATCAACTTACTAAAAAAGAGTCCAGAGAATTGCCGAAAGAACGCACAGGCAGTCTATAGATAATAGTGTAACTACTTTATGGCACATGATAAGTAAACTCATTGAAATGATAAATTCATTAGAGCTCTTGTCGATATGCATTGCCAAATTTCAACTGTTTTAAAGGCGTTGTTTTGAGAAATTAGTTCTTGCAACTGTACTTTAACTTTTCTGTAACACGTATTCTAATCAAAACTTGAGCCCATGAGCCACATCTCCGATATGTTAAATTAGACAGTGATTACACATAAAACTCCATCACCACCTCGTTGAGTAGTTTATACATCTTGCCTATTTCACTATTTTCCTCTCTAGCACTTTGTACAAACCTTAAGTCAGTCTGTCAAGTTTAAAATGAGCGGTAAATCCTAAATACTGAAATATTGGTTATTCTTATATTTATCGTCCTGTCTGTCTGTATATGTATGCCTGTAACCTTTTTCCTACCATTTCAATTGTTTTAGGGAAGAATATGACACTTGTCGTGATTACTCTTACCTGGATGAAGAAGATAAAGAGAAAGGTGAAGAGTACGTTTCATTTGAGATTACACAATGTATTATTGTCGTCAAAACATTGGTTATAATGTTTTCTGTATTTCTGGTACTGGCGTTATGGCATTTCTGTTGCTTATGCGAGATTTTAGTTCGATGGACAAAGATTGTGATCAACTTCTTTCTATTTAACTGTACTATTGTTTAAAACTAACTCTGTGTGACTAATGATTTTGTTGTATTGTTGTATGCATCGCAGTATTACCAGTAAATAAAAAAATTGAGAATAAATATAAGTATATAAACAAAGTTGGAAAGTTATGGGAGTACCTCAATACAACTATGAACTGGAAATGTTACCAGTCAACACTTAGTACTTTATGGATTTGTACTATATCAAACAAAATCATTGTTTTATGAAATTATAATCTGCCTATGTCTTTTTCTGATGACATTATTATACATGACCACTTGAATGACCTGACTTTTCCATTGGATTCTACGTCGATTTGTCCTCATGAAACTCAAACTGTAATAAAGCTAACTTTAAAAATTTATCCTTGTTCATTTTAGTCGAGAAACACGACGTGCAATAGAACGACAGAATCGTTTAGATCGAGCTCGTCGCAGGAATGAAGAAGTGGGTAATGTACGAAGCGTGGTCATCTTAGCTAAAGAAAATGATCCACGAATTTTAGCCGCTAACAAGGCAGCACGTGAGGCAAAGGAAGCAAAACGTCAAGCTCGTTTAGATGCTGCACGAAAAAAGAGGGAATTAGAGGAAGAGGTAAAGTTTGGTATTGTGTGTAAATAAAATGATTTTGTCGTGCTACTCCATGTTTCCCCGCTAGAAATGAATACATTGTATTTTTTTTAAAATATGTTCGAATTTGCAATGAGGCGGTTATTTTACTTTTTTCCACCTCCACGCGCTCGCGTTTTTCCCTAAGTACATTAACGCTCTTGGGAGGTATATTGGTAACCGATCTTATAGATATGTATTCGATTGTGGCCACTCACAGAAACGAGGTGTATGCTAACTTACTTTGTACACTTAACCTGAGCATCCTACTTATTGTTAATTACCCAACATAAATTGAGAGGTCCCATGACATTGAGTCTGCTGGGTTAATCACTTTGCAAACTTGTATGACAGAATTCCGTCAGCAGTAGTGACAAGACGTTTCTTTAAAAACTTTATACACAGATTCCCCATTTCATAAGTTTGGAAAAAATGAGGACAAAAATTGGCACAAAATAACATGGTTCAATTTTATTTTGTTGGTTCTCATCAGCTACATACAACCTGTAACACTTAATCAAACAGGTTATAATACAATCTTAACGTGTATTTTGTTGATAATCAAGAGTCAGTATTGCAGTAAGGTTTATTGTAAAAAAAAGTCATAGTGAGACTGAGCATAAGAATTTCAAGGTTGTTTTGAATTATCAATATCTCTATAACTAAGTATCTGTAGTATTTCGAAAGTTGACACCAGACTCCTTGTTGTAGAATTCGTGTATGGGATTATTCTATCACTGGAAGGAGTCGTATCACCCTTAAGATATAGTTATGTAAACAAAGCATGTAGACGAACAATATCACTTTCAGTAATAATTTTACTATCAGTAATTCTAATATTAGTGATAACGGAAATATTAGCAGTCGATGCAGACGATAACAATGACCATATTTCATTAATCAAATCAGGTTAAAATGAAATTCACTTCTCGCTTCACTAGTCTGTTTATCAGACTATAACTGTATGGCAGAGTGGTAACATCTCACAAGACTGAATTATCCCTTTTTTAAAATGTCAACTGCGTAAATATTTCCAAAGGTGGTCACTGATTTACCGTGACATATGTTTAGGGAGATCCTGGTTTTATATACGCAAGGTAAATGGAAACAAGAATAATAATAATGAACATACTTTCAGTGATTGGGGTTTGAAAACAGATTCGAATCCGTTAACTAGTAATGAGGCTTTAGTGTATCGCTGTATGGCACTCCGTGTATAAAATCATTTTTGGCCGATCTAGGTGTAGTGCTGTTTCAGGACTCAATCTATTGGCTCAAAATTAACTTTTTAAGTCAGTTAGACGCTCCATAAATGAACAGTAGGGTGAAGGTCATAATGAAGCCAGGTTGCGAATAGTCAGTATGGCCATTCTTTTTACATGTACTATGCTGGAGTGCTATTTTCGCTATGACGACAGTTTTTACCTAGGCATATTGTAAAACTAGTTAGTTAATTTTCACAGTTGACGTCTCATATTCTTTGCTAAGTGAAGTTTATCTTCATAATTTTGAATTATTTCTTAATGTTTCAGCAAATGAAGCGTGAAGCTGAGGCTGCTGCACAGGCTCGTGCAGCTAGTGAGGAGCGTCGACGTGTAGAGGCGGAACGTATTCGCAAAGAGCGTGATTTAAGCCGCATGGAAGCGAAACGTGAAAGGCGTCAATTACGAAGTATCCTTGTCGACCGGTACAATTATTTTATGTCTACCAGTGAGGTTGATACAGGATCTCACCAGGTTAAAATTTTAGCTGATATGGATTTATTATGTCAACGTTTGTCTAACGCACAGTAAGTACGTTTGGTCTGTATGATGTCTTTTCAAATGTTTGCTTCAGTTCTTTTAGGATGAATCATTAAATGTCTTAGATGAGAGTGAAAGTACAATTTCAAAGGTGTAATTCTCATAAAAGTGATAGAAAAATAGTAAATTCACTACAACTCCCACTTATTAAGTAATACTACCTTGGCAGTTGTCTGTCATATGGTGTTTTTTTTAATCCACCATCTACCCACATGTGTTCTGCTGACCTTCGCGTCCCAATTGGGACATAGGCCTTCAAGCTTGAACTTCGAAGTTTCAATAACCGTGGTGTTTTTTACGGGGTAGAGTTGTTATCCTCATTCCCAACCCTTACCGGCGAAGGGGGACTTAGGCGTGTGTTAGCTGGCAAATTGAACCACGTGCATTGTTGGTAAGCATTCTAAAATGAACCACCGATGCAAATCTGTTTCCTCTTCGTTCAAGACTCTTCAGCAGCACGACCTCACCAAGGATTGAACCTAGGAATTCCATGTCATTAATCGAGCTCATTGACTGTTCACCCACTGGAACTCTATTTATTTTCCATTTCCAGTGTTGTGCGTTTATTTGTTGAAGATCGAGGACTTAAGCGTCTGACTCTTAAATGACAGCACAGAAAAATATTCTCTGAACTTATTCATTCATATTTGTGATTTCCCATTGAAATATCTGGACTGAACTGGTATATTGGGTCTTTGAACAAATACCTCCATATTATTACCACCAGTAGCCTAATAATGGATAATGGCTTGAAATTTGAATTGAGGATGATGCTTTCGAGTCTCACTATAAACGCCATTATTCACTGGAGAGCGGGTTCATTTAGCTAACGAGTGACAAATGGAACAAAACTTGCCTCCTGGATTATGCTGCTAATTACCACCAAAAAATAACTTCAAGTGATACTCTTAGTCAGTGCTCATATCAAATAAAAAGATATCATTTCTAGCAGATATGTAGCAGATATATTCATGGATAGGTGGGAAAGCATAGCGATCGAAACCTTCGCCCTCACCCCAAAAGTATGGTGGAGGTATGTAGATGACATATTCACTGTGCTTTGAACACAGGATATAGATAGTTTTTTCGAATACATTAACTTAAAGGTAGAGGCAATTCAATTCACTTATGAATTGGAAAGTCGTGGAGGGGAGCTTCCAATGCTAGATTGTAGCGTAAAATAGAAAGCAGATGGGAAGTTAAACACTAGTGTTTACGGGAAACCCACACATTCAAACGGATATTTGGATTTCCGATCATCCCATCTTATGTCAACGACAATAGGATTATTGAAATGTTTAAAGTAGTAGAGCACGAAAACTAAGTAGTACCAAGGAAAATCTAAGACAAGAAGTGATACACATAAAAGAAGCCTTGAAGCTTAATAATTACCCGGATAAATTAGTGAAGAAATATGTAAGTAAATGTAAAAATAAAATAAATAGTGATAATAGCGATGTTGATAATAATAATAATAACAATAATAATGATAATAATAATAATGGTAATAATAATAGTGATAATAATAATATTAATGACGACATGCATGTCAAACATGCACAAGACAACACCAACAATAAGGAATCTAAATCATCAACAGTAATTCCATACTTCGGAAGCCTTACGCAGAATTCTTAACAAGGCAGGAATAAAAGTGGCATTGAAACCCACAAACTCAATTAGAAATAAGCTTTGTCGGTTAAAGGATCCTGTGGAGCCTTTAAAACAAAACAATTTAGTTTATTTAATACCCTGCAGGAATGATTGTCAGGTCAAATGCATAGGTCAAACTAGTAGAACAGGGCAGTCAGACTAGCTGAACATAAAAACCTAGCTAAATCTAGATTGGTTGGCTCAAATAATATAAGAAATCTAGAGAATAGTTCAGCTATAGCACTACATGCAGTTACACACAACCAAACAATAGGATGGGATAGGATGACAGTTTTAAAATCTTATGTCACAGGGTGGAGGGAGAGATTGATACCAGAAGCTTTGTTTATCGAATCAACTGCAAATACATGTAATAGGAATGATTCAACACCTGTCCCAGATATATGGAAAATCCTACTACCCCTACGACAAATAGGAGAAGACAAAGAAAACTGTAAAACTCAAATTTTAAAGTCGTGTGATTATAATTGATATGATTATGAACAATAAATTTTGTTCAAAACTTTGTCATCCAGTAAATAATACTGTTTCACTGTGTGATACATCTAATAAACAAACTAATATGGAATCGTTTCTAGACGTTGGGGAATTGATTCCGGTTATAGGTGATTTGCTTACTACCATGTATTGGTTTATTGGTAACTGTCTTAATGCTATTCATAACAATATTTATAATTTGTGAGCAGTAATTTTGTATCTCAGGGAATTATATTCCATAATAAATGTACGCTTTACATTCAAAGAAGATTAAAAACACTAGCACTGTAGAGGTTCATGATTTACTCTAATGATGCTTAAACTTTTTGTTTAAGTATTAATTTCTTCATTTCTTATTATAATTCGTTTTTTATTTTGTGATTTGTATTTGTTATTTTTCAGATTGCATGATTTGAATGAACGCTTGGAAAACACTGGTACAACTGATCAAGCCCGTGATATTTTCACATCTGAGGTGTGTGTACAGCTTTTCACATTTTAGTCGTAATTATTAATGTGATATTTACTTCACTTCCTTTTTGAGAAGTTTTCGTATGGTATTTTTTAAAATTCTTCTACATTCTTAGTCGAACACAGGGTTTAAAGTTTCAGTAGCAGTGGTGTTTACTTTTACGGGATGCCCAACCTTCCCTCTTCACCAGTCTCATTACTATCTTAGCGAGAAAAAGAGTGCGTCGGCTGGGGATCGGACCCCGAACCACCTGTGGCTTGGTTGGTGAGCATTCTACCTCTGTACCGCCGACTCCTTTTCATATGATATCATTGTATGAAATTGTTTCCAAGCGCCAATCACCATAGCGACTGATTTTCGTGATCACTCAAAATTTTTGTGAAGATTAGGAGAGTATCAAAGTTGTAAAGTTGCTATCAAGCTGGATTACTTCATTACTGAATTTTGACATTACTTCAAATTAGCTTTTTTGAATTTTCAACTCCAATGGGAAGTCAGTGTTACTAAACGGATCAGAGACTTTGTGCATCACTTAGGGCACTTCAGACAAACTACAGGCCTTCGCTCAATAGTCAAGATCAGATGGCCAACCAGAAAAGATCCGCAACAGGGATCTCTGGCGATGACCGAACCAACCCACCAGGAACCGATTGTGCAACAAATATGCAGAAAGAAATGGAGGTGAATCGGCCATAATCTGAGAAAACAAACCATGAAGTGAGTGACATCACACGCCAGGCCATCACTCGAGTGGAAGCCGAACGGGAAGCGGCGAGTTGGTCGTCAGTGCGAGGGTGTGGTGACATGGAGGAGGTCATGAGAAGAGAAGACAACAGCATGTGGGTAGACGTGAAGCCAGGTGAACACGTTGTTGGAGAATCGAACGCAATGGAGACGTGCTGCTGAAGCACTATGTTCCTCTAGGAACTAAAGGAAACAATAATAATAATAATAGTAACAACAACAATTCACCCCCACTTCCTGAACTCCCCACCATAATATGCAGATAATAACTCTCTTGTTCTTTTTTGTATTTTGTCTCTAGTTCATCCTTGTTTCCAGGATAAATCTGACTTCCACTCTTTTGTCTAATTACTATATAAATAGTTATTCTTTCAACACTAAATAATTGTCTATTTACATCACCTTTGAAATTATGTTGCTCATACTTTCTATCTGTAATTTGAAACCAGTGTGAAAAGTATGTTCAGAAATTTTGTAACATATAATTGATTTATTTGGGATGTATGCAGTTGAAGACTCCACGAAATTAAACGAGCCTGTATTATCCTGGAAATGTGTTCATCCTTAATTTGTTGAAACTACTAAGTGGAGTAGGTTGTATCTGGGAGCATATAACATGTTAGCAGAATGTGAATTTCTTAATGGTGCAAGGTGGAAGATGGCGAAAATCGGCTGAAATCCTTTAATTTTCTTTTCAGTTTCTTTGCCTCATATGAGCATCGTAGGAACCTATGCCACCTAGGAGATCTCAGATTCCGTCACCTAATCTTCTAGTCAAAAGAATTATCACTGATTTAATGGGGTCACCGAAACCCATTTTTAGGATTCTCAGACATAGATTGATTCGTTACTACTATCTATATTGTATTCGGCACTAAAAATCAGATATATGAAATGTGGTTAATCTTCGTGCAAAAGAATAACGCTGCCAGCATCTTGCAACAGTTATATTACAAACTATACCTCCATCACACAATACCTCAACATCGAAAACCAAAAAGTAACAGGAACAGTCATCGCTTCTCATTCAAGAAACAGAAATCATCAGACTAAAATAATTTAGACGAAGTAGTCAGATTTATACATCCAAGTAACGATGGCCAAGGTAAGGAAAGTGCCTGTACGAATTTCTTCTGAACACACAGTATTGGCTCCTTCAGTTGGATTCCGATGGCTTCAGCTGTACGTAGAAGACGAACCCGTTAAGCAAACTTAAGGTTAGTTGGAATGTGATAAATAACTTTAAATGCTATATTAACAACTTTATACTCACTCACTGTATATAAGGTGTGCTAAAACAGAGCTACGAATGGATCTTGCCTGTCCCTTGCTTAACCATGCAGGATGACGTTAGGAAATACTATCATGAACCTGACCAATTGTACGCCCAATGTTCCTGACTCCACAGCTGCAGTCAAACTAGTAGATACACATAGAGGAGGTAAAATTAGGTAGTTTGTCCTTATTTCTCGAGCATAAAACAGGGCTAATAATAAAGAGACAACGTACCTCTGTCACATTGAAAGTTCTTTTAACTGAATTCTTCAGGCGACGTGTTACTATCTCTGTGATGCTATCACCGAGGAACTGCAGTTTTATGAACAATGGTTCCTTTTGGAGCTGTTGCCTTGCTGGCTTGTTTTAGTGCTGAATTCATATTTTTCTCAATGAACTTATCTGGATAACCATTTTTACTGAGCAATTCTCTGATAATTTTAAGCTCTGTGAACCAGACACTTTACAAAATTCCGTTTATATTTCAAAGGTGCAAAACTCAAAAAACACGAGTGTACTGACTTTTCGTTGTAGGTTTCCTATACACACTCATTCTTAGTGTATCCTTTCTTTCTCTTTGGTAAAGTGTATCGCTGAATGTGCATCATTAGACTTGTCGAGGATGTTCGTTGCATCACTCTCGTTTTTCATAACGAGAAATGTATCATCCATATATTGACAGTAGAATTCCAACTCATTAATTACTCCTAGGATTGGACCTTATAGTGAACCCATAGCCAAACCATCAGTTTGTCTACAGTATTCCTTGTTGAACAAGAAATGAACATTCATTGTACATCTTAAAATAAGTTCCTTCATGGAGGATACGGAAATGCCAATGTCTGTGTTTCGCTTAACAGTTGCATCACATATAAAATCCAATGTCTCAATCAACGGTACATTAGTGAACAAGGAGGATATATCAAAGGATCTCACTAACTTGGCATTCATAGTTAGATCTCCTCTTATTCTTTCGACAAATTCAAAGTTGTCTTCTACAATATGTTTTACCAATTCGTTATGCAAAAGCTTTAGGAGCTCCACCAACCATTTTGCTGTTACGTGGATATGGGGAATCAGACATGTCTAACACTGGTCGAAGTGACAAACCACTTTTTTGCACTTTAGGTAGCCTATATAATCTTGGTGTAACTATACCCGTAGGCTTGAGTAATCCATATAAAAATTTTGTGTTGGTACCTTTTCAGTCGGATAAATGGAAGATGAAATTTTCGGTGATGACGATGCGTAGAGTTGCAATTCGACCAGTACGTGATTTGCCTTTCCTCAATACAGCTCGTTCCGTACTGGCGGAGTCCTTTATCCAATGCATCCTATATTGTCTCCAGGATGATGTGACGTAGTATTTCACTTCTCGTGGGCAAGAACTGCAGTGAGATAATGTTCTTGCCCACGAGAAGTGAAATACTACGTCACATCATCCTGGAGACAATATAGGATGCATTGGATAAAGGACTCCGCCAGTACGGAACGAGCTGTATTGAGGAAAGGCAAATCACGTACTGGTCGAATTGCAACTCTACGCATCGTCATCACCGAAAATTTCATCTTCCATTTATCCGACTGAAAAGGTACCAACACAAAATTTTTATATGGATTACTCAAGCCTACGGGTATAGTTACACCAAGATTATATAGGCTACCTAAAGTGCAAAAAAGTGGTTTGTCACTTCGACCAGTGTTAGACATGTCTGATTCCCCATATCCACGTAACAGCAAAATGGTTGGTGGAGCTCCTAAAGCTTTTGCATAACGAATTGGTAAAACATATTGTAGAAGACAACTTTGAATTTGTCGAAAGAATAAGAGGAGATCTAACTATGAATGCCAAGTTAGTGAGATCCTTTGATATATCCTCCTTGTTCACTAATGTACCGTTGATTGAGACATTGGATTTTATATGTGATGCAACTGTTAAGCGAAACACAGACATTGGCATTTCCGTATCCTCCATGAAGGAACTTATTTTAAGATGTACAATGAATGTTCATTTCTTGTTCAACAAGGAATACTGTAGACAAACTGATGGTTTGGCTATGGGTTCACTATAAGGTCCAATCCTAGGAGTAATTAATGAGTTGGAATTCTACTGTCAATATATGGATGATACATTTCTCGTTATGAAAAACGAGAGTGATGCAACGAACATCCTCGACAAGTCTAATGATGCACATTCAGCGATACACTTTACCAAAGAGAAAGAAAGGATACACTAAGAATGAGTGTGTATAGGAAACCTACAACGAAAAGTCAGTACACTCGTGTTTTTTGAGTTTTGCACCTTTGAAATATAAACGGAATTTTGTAAAGTGTCTGGTTCACAGAGCTTAAAATTATCAGAGAATTGCTCAGTAAAAATGGTTATCCAGATAAGTTCATTGAGAAAAATATGAATTCAGCACTAAAACAAGCCAGCAAGGCAACAGCTCCAAAAGGAACCATTGTTCATAAAACTGCAGTTCCTCGGTGATAGCATCACAGAGATAGTAACACGTCGCCTGAAGAATTCAGTTAAAAGAACTTTCAATGTGACAGAGGTACGTTGTCTCTTTATTATTAGCCCTGTTTTATGCTCGAGAAATAAGGACAAACTACCTAATTTTACCTCCTCTATGTGTATCTACTAGTTTGACTGCAGCTGTGGAGTCAGGAACATTGGGCGTACAATTGGTCAGGTTCATGATAGTATTTCCTAACGTCATCCTGCATGGTTAAGCAAGGGACAGGCAAGATCCATTCGTAGCTCTGTTTTAGCACACCTTATATACAGTGAGTGAGTATAAAGTTGTTAATATAGCATTTAAAGTTATTTATCACATTCCAACTAATCTTAAGTTTGCTTAACGGGTTCGTCTTCTACGTACAGCTGAAGCCATCGGAATCCAACTGAAGGAGCCAATACTGTGTGTTCAGAAGAAATTCGTACAGGCACTTTCCTTACCTTGGCCATCGTTACTTGGATGTATACACCTGACTACTTCATGCTGCCTCTAAGCCTTTTAAAATGAAATTATTTTAGTCTTATGATTACGTTTTTTTGAACTAGAAGTTTTCGCTCTTGATGTTATTTACTTTATTTGGCACTTAGACTGTTTCATTAAATGGTCGGTGTTAAGATTTTGCCACCTTCACCTCGTTACAAATCAATTGGCTCTGCACTCTTTCTTAATATTGCATCTCTGTGGAAGATTACCTCTTTATGTTAACACTTTTCGTTGATTTTGTTTAGCTTATTCCCATCTCTTTGTTCAACTTTTGAGAAACAGCCTTCTTCGGAAAAATTTTAATTGTTGGCTTAGATTATTCCATGTGAATGGTATAAACTCAAAGACGTTTGTAATACTAAATTCTTCTCTGCATAAATGGGCAGTTGAAGAAAATGTAATGTTTCTTTTACAGGACTGTTCTGAAAATGAAAGTTGACGTGGTTGAGCCGGTGAATAATCTCACATTTTTACTATTGCAACTGGAAGTACTGCTAAAGAAAGTGGAAAGTAAAACACTAACTTAAATTACCTTCTCAATGACGCGTTTTTACTCTACATCGAAGGTGATGGGTATGTGGATACCTCACTTATGTAATCGATAATAGGATAATCGAAATAATGACTGTTTATTTTATTTTCGAAGGATTCAGGAAATTACTTTGATAAGTCATGCAGTCTTTTGTCGTATGAAACCGAGTATGTAACTCAGCAAAAAATGTCTTCCAAACTGTCTTTCTCGTCAGTAAAAGATAATGCAGTCTCCTCATACCTGAAGTTAATTACATTATATAATACTGTTGCACTAAAAATAAGAGTCAACTTTGTTATTCTCAGCCAGTCTTTCAATGGACAACTATATTATCTTTATATCACTCGCAGGAATAAGGGGGTTACAGCGGGGATTATAATTTAAAGATTATTGAAGAAAGGTTGAAAATAAAATTGGTGGATGGTGGCTAGCAGTGAAATCCAGGGTTCGCATTTCGTCCTATTTGGGACTCGTCATCTGGATGTACCTGCATTTCTCAGTGAGTGAGACCGAGCACTTCGGTCCAATCAATCGACGGGAAAATCAAAAATTCAATTCAATAAAGGTTGAAAATCTTACTGATTTTGCATATATATATGGAACAATCTCACCTGTCAATTGTCTTGCAGGGGAAGCTGTCTGTTAAATATTTCTCACCTCCCCCTGGTGTTTGTTAGATAGCGTAGTGTAGCGTTCACCGGATGTTATCGCACACGTTGGTTCAGTCGTTCGCGAATCACGAACTCTACGATAGGTGTACGTCTGCTTTTCATATTTTTTAAAATGATCCCTAGAAATGGATGAGTATGCAGTAAGAACGTTCGAGTATCACTCGAAGTTCGTATTATAAAAAAACCTATTTCATAACTTCACTTATAGTATTGTACTTCACGTTTGCGATAAATACAGCTGTTGTACTTTTTATGTATGAATTGATCCTCAGTTTTGATATGCTGTAAAGTCTAACCAAATGTGTGATGTTTTCCGCTATCCTTTAAATTTCATTAGGTAAAGTAATTAGTGTTTTGGATACTTCATTATCTAATTATTATTCAAATAATACCTTTCTATGAGTTCGTAATACATCCCCCCTAGTAATCTAAAAATTATGCGTTAAAACCTTGCTCCTTTATAACTTTCCTGTATATAACTGCTTTATCCTCATGGAATGGGTGGTATTTTCCACCAAAGGGTTTTTTTGGATAGTAGGACGAATATTTTGAATTATTACTCTCTTATCTTAGATCGAATTAGTTAAACGCGAGCTGCAAGCAAATAATGTTCAATCTCAAGTGAAATCAAAGGGTCAAGAGACTTCTGCAACTGAGGGACAAACAAGTTCTTCAAAATGGACAAACGAAATGATTCAGATTCTTGTCAAAGCAGTCAATCTTCTTCCTGCTGGAACACCTAAGCGGTAAGTGTGTTTTTGTTTTAAGTGGTATGTTTTGGTTACACTATCGCACAACGGTTTAAATTCGGCATTTTCACTAGTAGGTCCGAGGTTTGAATCTCACTCCGTCTTCCTGAGCCTGTGTAACTGGGTAAGTTCACTGGTGATTACACAACTGTCTCTCATCTCTCAACTGTTTTAATTCTTCTCGGTACCACTTTGTTAGGTGGTTGTGGACTTTTGATTTTGTATTCAAGCAAAGCGGCACCGAGAAGAATTAAAACAGTTGAGAGATAACAAAGATCTGCTAATGACCCGCATCGATAAGGGTTCCAGTGTAGTGCTTCTGAATCGAAAAGACTATGTCGAGAAAATGAACGATATACTGTCGAATGAAGATAAATTTTCCCAACCTTCCAGTGAAAGAAACAAAACAGAACAGATTGAGAAGCAGCCCACAGACGTCTTGAAGAAAATGAAGGCCAGTCAACTAATCAGTGGGGATATCTATGACCAGATCCGACCAACAGGTTCAATAATACCAAGACTCTATGGTCTACAAAAGGTACACAAGGTTGGTCTCCCACTTCGTCCAATTCTGGATATGTCAGGTTCCCCTTACCACTCTATTGCAAAATGGCTAGCAGATATTCTGGAACCTGTAAGGAAACAATTATGTACGCACTCTCTCCGTGACACCTTCCAGTTCATCGACTACATACAAGACATGTATGTATCTAACAAAATTATGCTGTCCTTCGACATTGAGTCACTTTGCACCAATGTCGTACTCACGGCAACGGTCTGCTTCATATGCAGATATATAGGTCACAACCATCTGAATATTGGAATACCAACAACATATTTGAAGGAATTACTACTGAGATGCACTCTGAACGTCCAGTTCACATTCAAGGATACCATCTACAGACAATAAGATGGTATTGCAATGGGATCACCGTTGGGTCCACCACTGTCAGATTGCTTCGTGGCAAGTCTCAAGAAAGGTTCACTAAAGCCGAGCATTGACAGTTTACAACTGTATGAAAGATACGTTGACGACATTTTCATTATTTGTGACAACAACAACGACCCCAATCTACTGCTGAAGATATTTAATTGTTGCCATCCAGCAATAAAATTCACTCTTGAAATGGAAAACGAGTCGAAAATTCCGTTTCTTGATGTGGAACTAACGAGAAGAACTAATGGGAGCCTAATAAGATCGATCCATAGAAAACCTACGTGGAATAGTCATCTAGCAAGCTTCTATAGCTGAGTATCCATTCAACAAAAGCGGAATTTAATTAAATCACTTGCCACCCGCATCTGACGCATCTGTATTCCCGACCTTCTGGAAACATAATCAGATATTCTAAGAGAAATCTTCATTCAAAATGAATACCCACCAGGATTCTTTGACAGAAATATCAAACCAAGAATTCGAAGAAACGAAACCTTAATTGAGCCTAAAAAGAAATTCTACATGAACTTGGATTTCAAGGGAGATTTAGCAAGCGATATTCTCAAGAGAAGGATCACATCATCTCTGAGAAGAACATTCTTTGCAGCAACGCTAAGAATAGTGTTCTCCAGTCGCCCAGTAATCTGCAGAAGCCTCAAGGACAAGAAACCTCATCTGATCACTTCTATGTGCATATATCAGTTCACCTGCTGCTGTGGAGCCAGGTACATCGGTCGTTCGACGCGCACCCTGTCCAAGAGGATTCAAGAACACTATGCACCATGGCTGCGAAAAAGCAATAGAGGTGCAATAAGGAGTGCGATAATTGAACACCTGGTTAACACTGATCATTCCATTTCAACAAACGTCTCCTTCAAAGTAATCTCCTGAGTCAAGAGTAACCTATCAAAGGCGATACGGTTTCGTCTTCTTTGTATCGCTTAAGCTCTGGCCATTCACATAGAAAAACCGGAGCTGTGCATACAAAAGAGGATTACTCAACCACTTCTACTGTCATGATAACAACTTTTTATTTGATTTGATTTTGATGACTTAATTTTGTTTCTTTGCCTGTTTTTCAATTGCTTATAATTCTTGTATTCACTTAGATCTCTTACGTGATTTCGTATTATCTACTTTGTTTCTATGTGCATCCTGAGTAAAACTCACACATTAAACCATTCATATTATTATTACATAACTTCTTTTAACAACTGTTTGTGACAACTCAACACATTTATCACTACCCTAGTTTCATTAACACCTAATTTTCTTGATTTGTATTACCGACCTTCACCTGTTTAGTTAAAATAACCTTAAGCAATTATAATTCTTGTATTCACTTAGATCTCTTACATAATTTCGTATTGTCTACTTTGTTTCTATGTGCATCCTGAGTAAAACTCATTATTATTATTACAACTGTTTGTGACAACTCATCACCTTTGTTACTACCCTAATTTCATTAACACCTAATTTTCTTCACTTGTATTACCAATCTTCATTGCAAGCATAAAGGACAAAGCCGAGACACAAATCAACACTAGTGAAGAGGTCGGCGTTGAAAAACACTGGAACAACTTGAAAACGGTGTGGAGCCAAACCTGCATAGAAATTCTAGGCAGAAAAAAGAGACAGGACAAACAGTGGCTCACTACGGACACTTGGAAACTAATAGAAGAGAGAAGGACAGTGAAGCAAAAGATTATACAGTGCACTGACGAGCAACAAAAACAGGAGCTGAATGCAAGCTACAATACACTGAACAAAAGAGTGAAGAAAAGTGCCAGGGAAGACAAAAGAAAATATTATGAAACCATGGCAAACGAAGCAGAACAAGCTGCAGGCAAAGGAGACCTCGCCACACTCTACCAAACAACTAGGAACCTCTCGGGCAAACGTTCGACACAGATTAAGCCAATAAAGGACGACAATGGAAAGTCAATCACCAAAGAGGTGGAACAGAGAAAGCACTGGGTTGAACACTTCAAAAGACTTCTAAATCGTCCGCCACCTACAACACGTCCAGCAATACCAACAACGGAAGCAGAACTACCAGTGAACACTGACCCCCCGACGAAATCAGAAGTCCTGAATGCAATCAAGATGCTTAAAGCTGGGAAAACACCGGGACCAGATGGAATCCCAGCAGAGGCTTTGAAAATAGACCCAGAGACAACAGCGGACTTGATGACACCACTACTGGAGAAGGTGTGGAAAGAGGGCAAAGTACCCGAGGATTGGAAGAACAGTTACTTATTCAAACTTCCAAAGAAAGGAGACTTAAGTCAATGTAAAAACTGGCGTGGAATTATGCTTCTGTCCATTCCAAGCAAGATACTAAGTCGCATCATCCTGGAGAGAATCAAACAAGCCCTAGATGAAAAACTTCGTCCGGAAACTTCGCTACTACGGGGTCCCATCGACAATTATACACCTCATCCAACAGTTATACGACAATGCTGCATGCCAAGTAATCCACAACGGGAAACTTACGGAAGCCTTCGAAGTGAGGACGGGAGTGAGGCAAGGCTGTCTACTATCACCAATGATCTTCCTGACTGCAATTGATTGGATAATGCGACAGACAACGGCAACCAACGAGGGAACAGGCATAAAATGGACTGACACAAAAGACTTGGAGGATCTGGATTTCGCCGATGATATATGTCTGATTTCCCATAAACTGGAAGATATGCAAGTGAAAAGTAACAAGTTGGCAGAAGAAGCATCAAAGATAGGACTTCACGTGAACATAGATAAAACAGAGATAATGAAGATTCCTAGCCAACATCAACAACACCAACAGACCACAATAAGCATAAATGGGAAGAACCTGAAAGAAACAACCTCCTTCACCTACCTGGGAAGCATCGTCTCAACTACAGGCGGAACTGACGAGGACATCAAAGCCAGAATCGGAAAAGCAAGACAAGCTTTCATTACTCTCAAATCTGTGTGGAGGTCAACAGCAATCAGCATCAAAAATAAGATCCGGATTTTCAACTCCAATGTGAAGTCAGTGCTACTATACGGATCAGAGACTTGCACTGCGCGTCATAAAGAGCATCTCAAACAAACTTCAAACCTTCATTAACAACTGTCTCCGCTCAATACTCAAGATCAGATGGCCAGAAAAGATCAGCAACAGGGATCTCTGGGAGCGAACCAATCAGGAACCGATTGTGAAACAAATAGGCAGAAAGAAATGGAGATGGATTGGCCATACGCTGAGGAAACCATCAAGTGACATCACTAGACAAGCCCTCGAGTGGAACCCGAAAGGGAGGCGGCGAGTTGGTCGTCCAAGGGTGACTTGGAGGAGGTCATGCGAGGTCTGTCTGTTTTCGACATAGAACTTTGCACAAATGTGCGGAAGTTCAAGTCGCCACATTCCGTGTAGCACGCGAAGCAAGAGAAGAAAGTACAAGAAAAGCATAATAGAAACAGTGAGCAGAGGTGTGAGACAAAGGAAGAGTAATAACGAAGAACAAAACAGTTTCATTGAAGATCATAAGTCACAGGGAGTGGATGCATCAGCATCAGCCACTGAGAACGATTTTGAGCCATGTCACCAATTGTTTCCAACCATAGATTTTTACCGTCCCGAGGACCCCAGCCTGGAAGTCTACACCTTTCTACGTGGCTAAGACCAACTGTTGTGGATTTCATTGACTGATGCCAAGTTTTCGTTTGACCGCCGCTAGCTTTTTTCCAGCCTGACCCTATATCCGCTAACATAGCTCGTCGAGGGAGGCGATGACTTGGCATACGTAACACATGTCCTAACCATCTCAGTCGATGTAGCTTCACGACTTCGTCGATTGATTTCCCCTGTTTACCTAGAACTCTACGAGGAGGAGATGAAAGCATGTGGACAGACCTGGAGCAGGTTGAAAAAGTTGTCAGAAAACCGAAGTCAATGGAGGTGCGCAGCTGAAGCCCTATGTTCCCCTAGGAACTAAAGGATACAATAATAATAATTGTAATTTTGTTTGACAAACTTAATCTACACATACATACAAAATAACACACACATATATAGTTGCGATTGTACAGCTAAGAAAATGAATTCGCCGGCGAAAAGAGACTCTTCGCTGATCTACATATTTTGTTTTCATTAATAAATTTTGCTATGATGAATTTCAATTCCACAGTATATTTTAAAGTGTAATTAGTTTACAATCAGTGTATATATGTATGTGAACCTTATCTTTCGTCAGTGGCATAAAACGCCGACATCTAAATCGAGATTAACATATATTAATGTTGTAGGAGCATTGTAACTTCAGGATACAGCTAAGTATAGTTTCATCGTAGAGTAAATTTATTTGATAGAAGCACACAGTGATACAGTATTATTTTTGATGACTTTTGGAGCACAATTCATTGCTACATTGATGGGAACAAACCCACCAATCGCCGACTGCTCAACAAATATGTAGGAGAAAATGGAGATGGATTAATCGGGCATACATTGAAGGAACCGCTGACTGACATCGCTCGCCAGGCTATCTCTCAAGTGGAATCGTAATGGAAAGCGATGAGTCTGTCGTCACATCGAGGGTGATATTGAGGAGATCGTGCAAAGAGGAAATGAGAGATTATGGTCAATCGTAGACCCAGCTGAAGAGGACGACAGAAAATAGAATAAAGTGATATGTTGTTGAAGCCCTATGTTCCACTCGGAACCCAAGGGAATAATAATATTGTGTGTTTTCTATAGTTTGGTTTTAAGCGTTTGTTATGTTTTTACGAGTTGATCACGGATTGATATCAGTTAGAGAACCATTGAAAACCAGGGAGCACTGGGCAGCTGCTGTTTCATCCCAGTTTGGGAATCATCGGCAGTACGCACCCACTGGGATTCGAACCCAGGACCTTCCGGTTACAAGGCAAGCTCGTATACCATTCAGCCACTGGGACCCGATTCAATGGCCATTTCATGAATTCTAACTTCTACCAATTCGTGATTTAGCGCGACCCATACTATAGAAAATTAATCTGATGCTCGCTAGTGACTTGCTACAGGTTGGAGTTTCCTGAATTCTAGTGAGAAGTCGTGACAAGTGAGGTCCAATTAGATATCACGTGTGTGGATGGATGTCCCACCAACGATAATGGTTGGGGTCGCGCTAAATCACGAATTGGTAGAAGTTAGAATTCATGGAATGGCCATTGAATCGGGTCCCAGTGGCCTTATTATTATTATTATTAATGGTCTACGAGCTTGCTTTGTAACCGGAAGGTCCTGGGTTCGAATCCCAGTGGGTGCGTACTGCCGATGATTCCAAAACTGGGATGAAACAGCAGCTGTCCAGTGCTCCCTGGTTTTCAATGGTTCTCTAACTGATATCAATCCATGATCAACTCGTAAAATTATTGTGTGCTTACCGTTACGTAAGTATAAGAAGGGTGTTGTGGTTACTCTTATCCCTTGTTAATTACTGTTATTATTATTATTAACATTCCTCTCTGTTTACCTCGGTTCTCTGAAGTCCTTTCACTGGCTTCACAAATACGCATAAATAACCTTTCATCTCCTTCCTGTTACCCTTGGACATCAACTCGTCGTTTACCATTCGGGTTCCACTCTCATTTGATATTACTCACCAGTCTTGTCAGTGTATTTCCAATTCATCTCTAATGCCTTCTGTGTATGTGTTGGGCGATAGATTCCTGATCGGTTCGTTTCCTACCAGAGTTCCTTACTGCTTATCCTTTCTGGATGACCATCTAATATTCAGTTTTGGAGTGAGGGCAGTTGTTGGTGAAAGTCCGCTGTCTCGTTAATAATACTTCTAATCAATTGATTATGACTGTAGTAATTGAATTAGTGTTTAAATTGACGAAGTCTCGTAGAGTTGTTTCATTTTAAATGTCTTAATAACTACAATTATTTTAACAAAACATTCATTCCTTTATTTTGGTTATGCTTAATTTTTTTTCCTAAAGTTGGGAAGCTATCGCTGCTTACGTGAATCAGCATGTTAATGGTGCCTCTGTAACCGGTAAAGAAGTATTAAAGCAGGCCAAATTGTTAAAGGAGGAAGGTTTGTGTTGATTTTTTTTTTGTGGGTGTTTCCCTTCATTGTTATATTCTTTATGTGAGGTAAAATAAATGTAGCGAGTTAAAATAAGAAACACTTTCAAAAAACACATCAGAGTATATGCTTGTTTCTCTTGGCAAAATTGTGTAACACAAGAAAAAGTGAAGCAGTATAATATGTGCTCAATTTTTATTTAAAGGATTCACTCTAGTTATTTAAATGGTATCTATATCATAATACATAAATGACAAAGAGACATACATCCATTTCATCAAGTTACCCGGCTGGCAACTGCTACCTTGCCGTGGTGGTCGGGGTTGAATACCGCAGTGATCCAACAAGCTAAACTGGCTGGGACTCATGTGCCTGCAGATCCTACCATGTCAGGAAGGTTGTTTGGATAGCGGTTAGACTAAAAGCAGTTATCATATGGGGTACGTGGGCTCCAGAATCCAATCGGATCAAATGGCGTATGAACCCATATGGGTCACCGGAAACCATGGAGATGCAGCTCCTGACGTTGCTTCGCCGCCTTGCGGATTGGACTCTAAGTCAAAGGTTTGTGGGGTGGTCCCTAAAGAAAACCGCCTGCTGCGGTCTGGGCGCCCGGGCAGTATCTCAGCCCTCACACAACATTGTGTGTGTAATGCCATATTGTACTAAGTTTTTTTCTGCGTTCAAATAAACAAATAATAAATTCATCAAGTTAACAAGACGCTTATTGCTAGAAATACCATGGTTATACTGCAGTTATCCCAGATATATATGAAGGGGCATGTACGTATTCGTGTGATATATTGTGTTTAGATGGGTGCATACTGCTTCAGGTTTTGTAGAAGTGTACCTTTCTGATAAGGTTATCTGTGTTGTATTTTTCAACCCTGTTTATTGCTTAAGTGTTTATACTACTAATTAGTTACTCAAACTGAATTTGGTAGATCAGGATTCGACCATGGCCACCTATTTGTTTTTAAGCCATTGTGTCGCATCTCTGATAATATTGTAGGCGATCAAAGTGGGAAATATTGTCTGTTGAAAATGACTATTTAGAGAGTAGTTTGATTCTTTAATGAAGAGATCAAATAGTCAAGTTAATCCCAAGTACTGAAGAAAGTTCTTAAATTTTGTGGCTAGTTTTGGCATTTCTTTCAACACTAGGTATTTCGTTAGAAACTAAAGACATCTGAAGAATGCTGTCTTTGAAATTGATATTGACGTGATATTCAACTTTATTCGATTGTTATAACTGCATAATTTTCATTAAACCATGTAAAACAATTACACAGGGGTGTCTGTAAAAGAATAATACCTTCATCCTCTGAAGAGCCCCAAGACTAAGACAAAACAGCTGTCGGGTTTTCTAGTGGTTCTCTAACCGATGTCAGCTCATGTTAAAATCCTTATAGTTCTTCACTGGACATTTAATATAGTTGACTATTGTTCTTCTACCAGCTGCTGTTTGATTGTTAAATTATTATTAAAACACAGATTTGGTACATCGTGGGCACCAAGAAATGTGCCAGACAAAATTTCATAGTTTGTACAAGGGCTGTGATACTATCCAGACTCTGAAACCGAAGCAGGTGGTTTTTTGAAGGAGCCAACTCCCCTAGCCTTTGACTTGACGTTTGATCCATAAGACAGTAGAAGGTCATCATGAGCTACATTCCCATGGTTGCTGTTTCATACATCATTCGGTCTTTTTGGATTCTGGTGTCCATGTACACCATAGGTTTTGGAATCAGGGTTTTCCACCTCTCGTAGGTATATCTGTATGTTCACCAGTCCGGCTGTAAGCTGCAGATGTTCGCTTTTGTGAGGAGCACCGCCGCTACGTTTAGACAGTACATAAGACATGCCTGGCAAAAGTTATGAACGCGCTGTTACATGAGAATATTTCGAAAGAAAGATCGATGTCTGTCCACCTTCAACAGTGCCAGATCGTTTATGGCGTCTCTATTGTTAAAGTTAAGGGTTGTATCTTTAAAGATCCCATCTGTTATACATATCTGATTGCATATATAATTAAATGTATTAAGTGAAGGAAGTTGATCTGATAACCTTGATATCATTTTTCATTTTAATCTGATCGCTGTCTCTTGTTTTGCCTTTATATCGTTGTTAGATTCAACTATACGTAAAACAGCTAATACTAAAGCATTCGATTCATTTACTAACACTGTCAAGGAGACCGATGCTACTAAAAATGCAGCTATTACAACTCACCTGGAAGGTTTGTTATTTATAACTTTGAAAAAAATGAATATAAGAAAGTTAAATTGTTTTTTTTTTTTCAATAGAATTCTGTTTATTTTTAATTTTTTACTGCATTACTACTTCCAGACATTTTCCTTGAGCTCTGTAATCATGTGTGTGTGTGTGGATATGTCAAGTACATATGTGTATGACAGAGAAGATTTGTAGCTCAGGTGGATGATTTTGAATTAGTTGTGTTCTCTGAACTGGTTGATTTAATTGTGAAGCTTTTGTCGTCCTTTTAGACAACGTCTTCAGTGCAGTTTTCAGTATAAGATGGACTTATTTAAATTCTCCATGAATGATGGATGTAACTGTATCTCCTGGTAACCATTGTCGTGACTGGTTGTTGATTTACACCTCTATTGATCATTTCTGTTGACTTGGAATTTGAACTTTTTTGTCATGTGATCTACTCTTTATTAGTTGGAAAACTTAGTCTTTAGTAATGTGTTTTTTCAATGGCTGATTCACTTGAGTGATTACCAACTAGGCTTCTAGGAATTCTCTGGTATCTTCGGTGTTTTCTCTATTTAAAATTTCTACATTATCACAATCAAATTGCTGTCCATAATTATTTACATGCATTGATATTGAAGAATATATATCATGCCTTTTTGCGGCTAACTTTTGTTCCCGATGTAGGTAAAAACTAGTTGCCTAAACCGAAGTAGGTGTTGGATCGGACAAAACTGCGTGGTTTAAATGAAATTTTCAATCTTTCTCGTTGTTTTCTGAATTTATCAGTGTCCACTTGCTTGTAGACTGTATGAATATCTGCACATTGTGTATTGTAAGAATTAGGCTATATGTGTAATAGCACTTAGTAAAAGAATCTTGGTATCAGATGGTTTGAGGCAATCGACAGGAAGCCTTGGACTTAGGCTTCGTGCTAGTTGGCACTCATCAGCGAGGCGTATCTGCAACGTCGAAGGAACTCATGTCCCTCCTGAGATTCGAACCGGCATCAACCAGTGCTTCAGTCAATATCCAATACAGTCCTACAGGAGACGAGTCGCGAGCCTGAATAGCTCAGTGGTAACCTCTCTGACTCGGCTTCGAGTTTCAGAAGGGACGCGAGTTTCTTTCGAGGTTGCAGGTACGCACTGATGATGAGTGCAAACTAACACGAAATCTGGGTGTAAGGCTTCCAGTCGATTGCCTCCAACCGTCTAATACCAACAATTCACCTAGCATGGTAGGCACATTGCAAGCTTGACTGACAGATTTCAGTCTGCACCGAAGATAGGGCTAGGCACGTTACACAAGTCTAATCAAAAAATAATCTTGACCACACAGTTTGTTCTATATGCATCTCCAAATGGTAGCAAGGATTTCATATTTGTAATCCTCTAAAACAGACGCTTCGCTATTGGGGTGTTCAATCTTTTTTAATTCAGTGCTGATGATGCTGTGTTAAAAGACAATGAATTGAATCATCCTAATTCACATAAAGCAACTATCCTGACTCCAGTCAAATCTTTACACTTATTCATGTTCCTGTGGAACAGAGGCAATGTTAATTTGAGTAGAAAACCAAACAGTATATCTAAGCTGCGTAATTCATTTTCCTTTTTATGAATTTAACAAATTTTGAAAAGCTCTGCAGTCTCTTATCTTGGTGTTACTTTAGTATACGTTACTATCACTTCGTTTGTAAAAGCAGTAACTTATGTGTGTTGTGTAGAATTAATTTAAGTGGTGTCTTTAAGTACGGTGGAGACAGCTTACTGTCCGGATTAACTGAGGTACTAGGCAGCGTTTGGGAATCAGAAGAAGTCCCATCGGGTTGGTGTAAGTCACTGATTATCCCCATATACAAGAAGGGAGACAAGTCTTCCTGTGATAATCACAGAGGGATTAGCTTGACTAATATAGTATCTAAAGTCTTAGGCTCAATAATCATGCGTAGACTGAGTGGTGCTCGGGAAGCACAAACACGAGAGAGCCAGGCAGGCTTTAGACCAGGAAGAGGGTGTATTGATCATATCTTCACCCTCCGACAGATTCTAGAACATAGGCATTCCTACCGGCGTCCAACAGTCATTATATTTCTTGACCTAAAGGCAGCATTCGACTCTGTCGATCGGGAAGTTCTCTGGAGATGCTTGGCTGTAAAGGGAATTCCAAGAAAATATATTGCACTGATTAAGGCACTCTATTCGTACTCATACAGCCAGGTGAGGGCTTACGGCGAGCTGTCATCTGAACTGATGACGACCAGTGGTGTCCGTCAAGGATGCCCATTATCTCCTTTTCTATTCAACTTCATCATAGATGTGTTAATGGACTTAACCCTAGGTGACTTCAGCGATTCAGGGATTGACTTGCTACCTGGGAATAATCTCGTTGACTTGGAATATGCAGACGATATAGTCCTTCTAGGCGAAGACGCTGACGAAATGCAGAGTCTTCTAAACACCTTGAACAGCAATCTACGAATGTTTGGCATGCGATTCGCTCCCGCCAAATGCAAGATGATGTTACAGGACTGGACTACATCGACGCCTAGTTTAAAAATAGGAAGTGAAGTGGTAGAGCACGTTGACCGCTTCACTTATTTGGGAAGTACCATCAGCCCCAACGGGCTGATCTCTGACGAAATCTCAGCACGAATACAAGGGGCTCGTTTCGCATTTGTTAGTTTACGCCGACTCTGGCGTAGACGAGATGTTCGACTATCGACCAAAGGGCGGGTGTACTGCTCATCAGTCCGCTCCGTCCTCCTTTATGGTTGTGAGACCTGGCCACTGAGAGTGGAAGACATGAAAAGACTAGCTGCCTTTGATCATAGGTGCCTGCGTTCTATTTCCCGTGTAAAGTGGCATAATAAGGTGAGCAACATGGAGGTTAGGCGTAGAGTTCTAGGTAAACAGGGGAAATCAATCGACGAAGTCGTGAAGCTACATCGACTGAGATGGTTAGGACATGTGTTACGTATGCCAAGTCATCGCCTCCCTCGACGAGCTATGTTAGCGGATATAGGGTCAGGCTGGAAAAAAGCTAGCGGCGGTCAAACAAAAACTTGGCATCAGTCAATGAAATCCACAACAGTTGGTCTTAGCCACGTAGGAAGGTGTAGACTTCCAGGCTGGGGTCCTCGGGACGGCAAAAATCTATGGTTGGAAACAATTGGTGACATGGCTCAAAATCGTTCTCAGTGGCGCAGATGCATCCACTCCCTGTGACTTATGATCTTCAATGAAACTGTTTTGTATTTCTTTATTACTCCTTTGTCTCACACCTCTGCTCACTGTTTCTATTATGCTTTTCTTGTACTTTCTTCTCTTGCTTCGCGTGCTACACGGAATGTGGCGACTTGAACTTCCGCACATTTGTGCAAAGTTCTATGTCGAAAACAGACAGACAGACAGGTGTCTTATATAAAAATCACCTAATAATTAGGTACAACCTTAGACTATTCTCATAGTGACAGAATGGATTTGCGTACCCGTCATTGATGAAATCTGTCATTATACAGTTGTTAAAATTTATAATAAAACATCATCGATTCCCTTTTTTGTGGAAAAAGTGCATATTTTATTTTGAAGTGTTGATTAACCAGGATTTGATTGGTTTCAGGATTTCATCATGAATTGACATCGGTTAGAAGACCATTGGATGCGCGTACTGATGAAGACTCCGACACTAGGACAAAACAACTGTCTAGCAGTACTTCCAGATTTTAAAATGGTCTTCTAACCGATATCAGTTGATGACGAAATTCAGGTACTATTTTACTTTTATAAAATTATGAACAGTAAACTAAAAGGTTGCATTAATTTTCAATCACAGCTGAAGGATTTCGTCCTTGGACAGTTGTTGAACAACGTGCCTTAGAACAAGCCTTGAAGACTTATCCAAGTTCTGTTGGAGATTCTGGTCAAGATGATAGATGGCAGCGGATAGCAGATGTTGTTGGCACTCGCACTCGACGTGAATGTATACTACGATGCAAAGAATTAGCAGAACAAGTATGTTCATTATTCATCACAAAATTTATATATATATATATATATAGTCTTCTTGAATGTTTTTTACCTAATAAAATATAGTTTTGGTGATTGTTGATAACCAGCTCTCTTAATGAATATCTATTATGTCACCGAAGAAGGTTTACAACATTGTCAAATTATTTTGTCCAATGGTCACATCATTTTCCAATTACAGTTAACGACTTAATATTCAGAAAACTAATTCTTATGTAATATGGAAATATAAAGTGTCAAGTGAATTTTGAATAATGAAAGTTTTTTTGTTTGCTTATTTTCATTTTTAGGTTCGCGCTAAAAAAGCTGCACTGGCTGCAGTCAAAAAACCATCGAGTACAACAGCGGCAGCATCCGCTAAAAATAAGCCTTAGGTGTAATGTTGGGAGTATTGCAGAGGAGTGAGAGAAGGAAATTATCTTCAAAACAGATTATGTCATACCGCTTCTCACAGTCTCCCAATTTTCTAAGAAGAAAATCTTTTATTAATTCAATGCATTCATACAGGAAAGAAATGAGTAGACCAAAATATTAATCATTACTTGGTTTGGATATGCCTACATTTTCATTATCTCGTGTGATGTCATGTAGAAATGAAATTGTTGATACTTTTGTAAATTGTATTTCCTTCAACAGAATCTTTTCACCCGTCAGACTATATAAACATTATGTATATATATTTATATTTATGCATACCTGTTATCTTGAAGCATCTTCAATATTCTTTTCATTATTCTTATAATCTTTTAAGTATTTTGTTGGACAAATTTATATTGACTTATAAAAAACCATCCTATGACCTAGTGTTTTTGAAGAAATATTTCATCTCTAATTTGTGTGTTCTAAATTCTTACCTTGGAAATATGATCGAAAAGCCTAAAACTGTTAAGAATTATTATTGACTTATCTTTGTCAAAGTTCACAAGCATGACAACTGTTTCAGATTAGACGTTTTCTGATACGTCGTCAAAGTAGGCTGTGTGTCTTCATCGATTGAGATTATTGAAATGTGTCCTATTTATGCTAAACCGTCTATTTCTTGAACGAACTATATTAACTGATGGAAGACCAGCTTACAGATGGCAGTCATAAACTGTTGATTGGAAATATGTAGAAATGTGTGGGTTGGCTGACCATAGGCTTTCGAAATCGAGAATCAGTGTTTGAGAGCTCGTGGTAACATGGTTCAGAATCATTTACAGTGACAAGAATATATTCATTCTACCATTGGTATTATAAACATCTCTTTCGCAAAGATTATTATTTACCTAAGGGTTAGAGGTGCGTCGGTGGCACAGCGGTTAGGACGCTCGCTGACCATGCACATGGTTCGGGGTTCGAGCCCCGGCCGACGCACTCTCTTACCTCGCTAAGCCACAAATAAAGGTGATAAAGAGGAAAGGTTGGGCATGAGACTAGCAACCTCATCCTGTAAAAATAAACACTGTTACAGAAACTTCAAGCTACTACCTTGAAGCCACTGGGGACGTAAAAGGAATAAAAGAAAAAAGGCTAGAGGCTTTTGTATGTTACCATCTTGATTTTGACTTTTGCTAGGCTGTTTTGAAATATATTGTTGGCTACTTGTATTACATCTTGGGGTGTTTCTGTGGGTTTTACATCTTTCAAATAATTCATAATGGTTACTTCCACTGGAAAATTTCGAAACATGGCTTTTCTAGCTGAAAATAAGTAGCACTTATGTATTCTGCTATCTCTGTCTGCTGCTCTCTTTAATGGTAAAACACCTTGGCGATACTCCTTCCAACGTGATATATATATATATATATATATATATATATATGTATATTATTCAGTAAGTAAAGTCGTCCTAATACACACACTTTATAGGTAGTTCATAGGCATACTGTAGTAGTGACCATCGTGTGATTCCTACTTTGAAGAATCTGAATAGCTAACCAGACTATGATGGCATCGGACACTTATCTCTTTTTACAAGTATTTATTAATAGTGATAAGAATTGCAGACTATGGAAATGTGATATTGTAGCGCTAACGGTTTATTTGAATACAAAAAGATTTGCATGCAAACAATGTTATGGGCTTCACCTAAATTTCATTATCTCTTAGTTTTACTGAATGACCATGAAATACATTTTTCCGCAGCTAGCCAAATGTTTTTAATTGTGCAGCACGTTTCATTTCTGGAGCTTCGAACACCCTGGTACGCAAGGTTGTAACCTTTTGGATTAGTATTTCTATTTTCAAATACACTAAGAAATTACGTTTAACTCATGAGCATCCCAGATGTCTCATCGCTACATCGCATGCAGGGAAATGATAACTAGTTGTCCAGTTCTAGGTGTGCGAATTCGTTGAAAGGCTGAGTAACGATGGTACTCTTAAATTTGGTAGACAGGAGTCTGTCAGCAGTAAGCCCTTGATGACAGTGCACATTAATCAATGAGTTTTAGACAGCACTTTAAGTTAGATAGCCACATTTGCAGTTATGAAACTACTGAGTGACATGCATAATTCATTCATCCACAGTGTTAGCCATTTCTGGTGAAGTACCTGATGAATATTAGTAAGTGCGAAAATGATGCCCGTAGCCTCTTTTGCTCATATTTCAGAGTCAACCTGCAACACAATATGCTGAATAAATCAATGTATTTATTTATTACGGGATATACTTCTTATTGCTAAGGAGCGCTATCGTTTGATGAGAAATTCTAAACTCTGGCGGTCATTCAAGTATTGGTTTGTAGGGATCCGATTGATTGGTTACAGGATTTCATCATGAACTGACGTCGATTAGAAAACCGGGGAGCACTGGACAGCTGTTTCGCCCTGGTTTGGGTTTCTTCATCAGTTCGAACCCGGGACCTGGTTACAAAGCGAGCTCGTAGGCCATTAAGCAGCCACTGGGACCGGATCGAATGACCAGCCCATGAATTCCAACTTCTTTCAATTCACGACAGAGCGTGACCACTAGCCAATGTCTTCGTAGAGTATTTGTCCTCACAACCGACCTGGTGTACCCCACTGGTCACGACTTCCCACTAGAATTGTTTTAAACCGTCACTTTACTAACTTCAACCAGTACTCGGAGCTTGAAATGTACTTCAATTTCTTCACATGTAATGTGTGAAGTATATATAGGTAAGTTTTCGAAGGAAGCAGTAGAAATTAAAAAGTGATTTATCCTGTTTGTAACTTATTAGTGTTATTCTATGTGTCATTCTAATTTAGGAAGCTACATAGCATAACGTTTGGATGCCCTCATTGTCCGATGACGTAAACGGACATTGCAAAATCAATACCAGCCATTTTATTTTGCGTGTATCAAGGTCACTGTACCAGAGTGTAGTAAGGATTTATTCTGAAGAAGCTTAAGAAGATATAAGGAGCATAGAGAAATGTGTAGGAAATAATTATTATCCAAATTTGGGTTGTTATGTGATGAGGTTATAGAAAAAGGTTAGGTAATGGATAAAATTTACAATTTCGAGAACCTGTCTAGACGCTAAACCGATCTGTCTAACAAAAGAACGTGTACTATAAAAGTCCAGACGAGACCAATTTCACACTCTTCGATTGTAATTATGCATACATGAAGAATCGAATACATAGAAAGAATGGAAAGCCGGTCGTCTCTTATGATTTCTGACGAAGTGCCGAGGTCCGGGTTCATTTGATGGTACCACAAACTGTCACCTAGTTGATACAGGGAATCAGCTTGACATATCAGAATCTTTCTCAACATACCGAAGCCGATAATATTCGAAGAACGAGGCGTGAAGTATGTGTTCAAGGGAAGTCTGTTACCAACTTATCACTACCTCAGCAGGTACTGACATTTCTACTTATATCTGGTTCCTTAAAATATAAAACGATCATATTGAGATTCAAATGTTGTTATGTTCAGTATGCATCAGATAGAAACCTTAAATATGTCACTTAATTTTACGAGACAGAAGTCTTAAAAATTCATTTCATATAAATTTACTTTGCACATCAGCCAGCTTCTAGTCTTAGACATTAAATCAAAAGTATATAATTCACAAATAAGAGAAAATAAATTGTATTCGGCACCTTTTTTGTTATTATTTCTCTCTGGAAAATTTTGATTACCCTCCATTCCAATGTTCTTGTTTCCCAATTTTTTGTACGTGTTGAGTAATCATTGATTGTTTTAATATTCTCCGCCAATTAATTTTAATAAATACGTGAATATCATTATAATGTCGATGTAGAGTATTAATGTGCCGAAAATGTATTCTTCTGGATTAAGAGAATACGTTCGTCCACCAATCAGTAGTTGAGTATCATATATCAAATACTTGATAGTTAAAAGAAAAGGGAACAAAGTTAATTCGTAAAGTGTGGATGGCTATTGTTAGCAAATAAAAAAAATTGACAATTTTATGTACATATTTTAAAACTGCCACAGTCAAACTTACTTTTATGCAAAACTTGGCTTTTTATAATTTCTCAATCACCTCTTCATTATAATAAAGGTTTTTTTACTTCCCAGTGAATGAAAAACAAAACGATATTGTTCTGAAGGTTTCGCTGTGTAAGCCACAGTTTCTTCAGCAGATTTATTCGGCTTTTTTATTCCGAATAAATCTGCTGAAGAAACTGTGGCTTACACAGTGAAACGTTCAGAAAAATCTTGTTCTCATTTTCTTAACACTCTGGGATTAATTTAAATAATTTATAATGAATCAATTTGACTCGGCGCTCAGATTATTCCAGGAAGTTCGTAACACCTACGGTCTGGAAACCTATAAAACGATAGTGTTGCTTTTACTGACGTTCTGCTATTTAATGCTGCTGCTAATAGCTTTATCAAAGTATTATTGAACTAGAATTTACAAAATCTCATTTTCACGTTGCCAAGTTGGTAAAGATAACAAAACTAGGTGTAGGCTGTTGGATTTGATAAGTGTGTAAAATTATAAAAGCAGCGTGTGTTTACATAGTGAAATTGCTTACCACGTTCGTATTGATTTTATCACTTCGTGGGGGAGGGAGGTGTTGTAACCATATTAAATTCTGTTTTAGTCCATCATTCCTATTCAAAAAATTTGGTTTCCACTTGATATGAAGTGCTTTTGATATTAGACGTTCTTTGTGATTCCTGAAATGATTTCTCTGGATTATTTCAATATTGTCAAAATCAGTTTTGTAGCCTGATTCTATAGCGTGTAGACCACCACTTATGGTTGATGATTTTTCAAGCTTTTCTAGCTTAACTGGATTTCTCGGTGGTAGGACAGAGGTGGCCCTACGATGTTTATTTCTTCTGATTTTGATTGCTCGAGATGTTTGTCCGATGTATATCGCATCACCTTCCAAGCATTTCATTTTATAAACACAGTTCGCAGTGTGCGTGTCTGATGTTTTGAAGAAAACTCTGATGTCGAGCTGATTGAGTACTCTTCTGATATCGTCGGACGTCTCTGCTCTATACGGAATGATAACTGTTGGGGTTCATGTTTTCGGAATATGTTTTCGACCGTACTTAATGTCAGTGTTGATTTTGTTGATGGAGTTCTTTGGGTAGTTGTTTCGCTTGAGAGTCTCAGTAACGTTTGATACTTCTTCTTCTTTTTCCTTCTCATCCGTTATCAGAGTGTGCTCTAGGAAGACTTGAAACAAGTGATACCTTTGTACTGATGGGGTGTGACGATCCGAAGTCTAGATATTGTTAGAGTGGGTTTCCTTCCTGAATATAGATATCACTAAAGTATCCGTTTTCTCTCCTCTTAACTAGGCAGTCTAGAAATGGTAGTTTATCGACGTCTGATTCTACTTCCAAAGTAAACTGGATTCTGGGAGATAGATTGTTTAGTTCCTTCAAGAATGAACTGTGTAGATCTCGTTTTAGCACCACATCTGTCACGATTGTCTTAAAACTTGATTCTGCTTGAGTAAGTATTTGTATATCAAGCTAGTCTAGGTGAAACTAAAAGAGGAGGGGGGACTGCAATTCGGTTCTTTCACTTTGGTCATTTTTGCAACTAGTTACATATAAATCCGTTAGGTCTACAAATGGTGAGAATAGTAGAGTTTCATGATACTTCAAGTCTGGTGCACTTTCTATAATACTTATGTAGGTGTCCTTGTTTTTGGTTAATGACGGTAATATGGCCTTCTGTATTCGTGCCACAGTATGATCAGAATTTATTTTATGACACCTCATTGGTGGTGTATTAAGATATGTAGATTGTACATCTACTTAAGTAAACGTAAACAGCTCTTCATATGTTTAAATGGACACTTACAATTTACTGTTGGATTCCAGTAGATATGAAACCCGCCTCACTCTAAATCTCCCCACCCTCCCCCTTAAAAATGTAAAACTCAGTACATCATATTGCGTCTTTTTATCATGTGACACGGTGACATCTGTATTTCAACAATTTATGTACCCGTTTTATATTCATTAAAGGTTTTCTGATAATTAGATGAAAGTGTAAATGACTTAATTGAAATCCTTATAATAAGTGAAGGACGAGGAAGAATGATTTCTAAGAAATATTTTTCTTAAATTCACATTATCCAAGAAGGTATTGTCATGAATTATATGCACTGACAATTTTACGTGACACTGCCTTCTTTCAATTTCTTTGTTTCAGCTTTTAATGAACTATATTTGATAGAATTTCGTATTCTTTCCTCGTATAGACTTCCACTTCTTTTGTGTTATAACAGCTAAGTTGAAAACTCTAACTGATATTCATTTTTTTTTTCATGTTCAGTGCTATTTATGTTCATCATATGTCTGATAATCCATGAAAAATACCCATCCTTACATGAATATAAGAACAAACAGTTCACTTAATTGTACAATCACAATTATATATAATTATTTGTGTGTGTATGTACATTGGGTTTGTCAGACAAGAATCACAATTACTTAAGCTTATTCTTCACATCATCAAAATGTTCCAAAAAGTATGGCAAATAATTAAATTGTAACTGGGGTTGTGTCTGAAGACTACTAAGCATTGACAGGGGCTACATAGTATGGAAGACTCCTAGAAATAAGATAATAATGAAGGGCATATTACGTAATCCCAGTCAATATTTAGTAATCTTCAGATACAACCCTAGTTACAATGTGAGTATTCACCATATTTTTTGGAAAATTTTGATGATGTAAACAATAACCTTAACTAATTGTAATTGGCAAAAGAAGCATCAAAGACAGGAATTCAAGTGAACATAGAGAAAACAAAGGTGATAAAGATTCCTGACCAACAACAACAGAGAACAGTCAGAATAAATGGAGGAAATCTGAAAGAAGCAACCTACCTAAGTGGGAAGCATTATTCCAACTACAGGCCGACGGAACTGATGAGGATATTAAAGTGAGGATTGGAAAAGTAAGGCAAGCTTTCATTACTCTCAAGTCTGTGTAGAAATCAACAGCTTGAAAAATAAAATCAGGACTTTCCAGTCTAATGTGAAGTCAGTGCTACTTACTATGCGGATCAGAGACTTGTACTGAATGTCACGAAGTGCACTTCAAACAAACTACAGGCCTTCATCAACAGCTGTCTTCGCTTAATATTCAAGATCAGATGGCCGGTCAGAAAAGATCAGCAACAGGGATCTCTGGTGATGACCGAACCAACCCACCAGGAACCAATCGTGCAACAAATATGCAGGGAGAAATGGAGGTGGATTAGCTATATTCTGGGAAAACAAACCATCAGATGAGTGACATCACACGCCAGGCCATCGCTTGAGTGGAAGCCGAATGTGAAGCGGCGAGTTGGTGGGGTGACATGGAGGAGATCATGCGAATAGGAGAACCAGGTGAAAACGTTGTTGGAGAACCGAGCGCACTGGAGACGTGCGGCTGAAGCGGTATGTTCCTACAGGAACTAAAGGAAACAATAATATAATAGTAATTGTGATTCTTGTCGGATAAACCTAATTTGCACACACACTAGCACAAATAATTATACATAATTGGTACTGTACATCTAAGTGAATGAATTCGCCGAAAAGAGATTCTTCTTATATTCATGTCTGATAATCAACTGGTTATAATATATGAACACAAATGAAATGGGTTAGACACATTAAAAACGATGGAATATATATTTTAAAAGTGACTTACAAGAGTAAATACAGCAGCACCGAATCCTCCATATATCACATGAAACACCTGTAAAAGAGGAGAACAGTGTTTTTATTTGTCGCTAATATATATATGATACACCAGAATTGCAGTTGGTAACAATTATTTTGAAATGAAATTATAATTTAATTCGTGAATCAGTCTAGTTAACATTATTCCATAATAATTTGTTTACTAGATAAACATATCATCTAGTAGATAGTACTATTTCATTTCACTGTGTGAGCTGTTTCATAAAAGGAATGGCGCTCAGAGATACTCTATTTGGCGATATCATTCTCAAGCGGTACAAACATATATATATATATATATATATATATATATATATATACAAAACGGCAGAATTTAATGGTTTTTGTGTAAGAATGATGGTGATGGACTATTCAGTGAAGTACTAGTTCGTGTACAGGAATTCGACATGGTTCCTTCAGAATAATAATAATAATTGCTTTATTCCAAAAACAGTACTAATGATACAGCAAGGAATTTTCAGCATTCAGTACAATATTGCATCTAATTTACCCAAAAACGACAAAAAAATTAAAATACACAATACATAATAGTAATAAAACGATTGTTGTAGCAGCTACGTAGCAAAATACTGTGTGCCATACGGAGAAAAATATGTATAAAGTACAAAATTGTAGTAGTAATAGTAATACCAACTAATATAAAATAGCAGAGTAACGATTTAAACGATAGAAAGTGTAACACCATAAAATACAGAAAGATGAACGATAAAAGGGACGATTCACTGTGCTAATTACATAGTAACTTGTAAGTTTCACGTCTAACAGAGTCTTTGTCACATAAAGTACGCGCTAAATAGGGTATTGTAGAATTTCTATACTTAGTAGTACGAGCATATATCTTTTTATATTGACTTCTCGTCCTGCCTGATGAGATACAAGGGGATAGGTGTGAATAAAGGGGGTGCAGAGGGTCTGACATTATAGCCTTTACCCATTTCGTACAGGAATTTATATGCCTCTCGACTATAGTATTAGCGAGCTCATTCAGTGGCAGACCACAAGCTCTACTCACAGCATTTAATACTCTTCGTAATATGATATAATCTTTTTTGAGCAGCCCAGGAAAGATTAATGGAGAGCAGTAGAGTACAATAGGTAAAATACAGGAGTTTAAAAATTGCAAAACTAAAGGTTGGTTGATACCTGATTGTCTTAACTTTTTAATGTAGAAGGTAAGACGAAACATTTTCTTAGAGATAGATAAGATATGGGATGACCATGAAAGGTCAGAGGAAAAAACTAGTCCAAGGTATTTAATGCTTGATTTGGTTTCAATTTCCGTGCCTTATAAGAAAGGATGAAAATCTTGAGATTAGCATATGACCAATTTCACTAACACAGAATCTAAATTCAGCGTTCATATTCAAACCAACAGGAAGTCAAATGAGTTTCAAACGCGATTGGTAGTGCATGAATTAAATCTCCACCTTTAGACAGATTCTGCAACATAGATATAGTTTTCGGAAATAAAAACTTGCCATGCTCCTTGACTTGAAGACAAAACTAAACTTTGTCGATCGAGAGATGATATTGTGGTGATATCTCAGTGTGAATAGAATACAGAAGTGTATTGCGCTAGTCAAGGTACATGACTCAAACTCCTGAAGACTTCATTGAATTCAAGAATTGCGACAACGTAATCCATTTATTTGACGACTCTGCTAAAATGCAGATTCTACTAAGCAGTTTGATAAAAATCTAAGTTTTCTTGGTATACCCCTTACTCCTATCATATGTAAGGTGGTGCTAAAAGACTGGCCTGCATTGACCCTCAGTACAAAAAGTAGAAGTTAAATGATTGGATTTGGTGATCATTCCATTCATTTATGAAGTTGCATCGCTTCTAATGGACCTATTGTTAACAAAATTCCAGCTCGTCTAATAATCTTTGACACTGGCGCGATACTAGATATTTACCAAAGGTCATATGTTCTGTACAGCACTTTACCCAATCCTCCTGTATGTCTGTCAGCTATGATTAGTGAAAGTAAAATTACGAAATTACCAGTTTCGACTGTTCGTATCCTTTATCAGTTCCTGGTGTTAGGATGAACAGTATAATCAGTCATACAGTGTCAGTTAGGAAAGGAAAGTTAGTCGATTAGATTGTGCGACAACATCTATGGAGGTAGTTAGAACATGTGTTATGCATGCCAAATCATCTTCCGTGCTAGGTAATGTTAGTTGAGGTTGGGTCAGGTTGAAAAAGAGTAAATCATGACATCAGTATATGAAGGCACTAAATGTTGATGTGAAACGCACACATATTGAAGAAGATTGCCCACCTGAGATTTTCTGTATGTTAATATTATCGGTAAAGTGATTGATTCTCTCAAATTATGATGTGACAAAAAGAGGACATCGCTAATCGTTCTCAGTAAGATCAATTCTTTACTATCTCAGCAGACTCAAAACAATTAAACGACCCCATTCAAATGACATTCTATATATATATATATATATATATATATATATATATACAAAACCAAAGAAAGTAATTGAAACTTCAGTTGAAGACTTAGAAACCCACCATTGAAATTTTGTATTTCTAAATAAGTTAAAACATCGTATAATTTATCCTAGAACATTTTGCACTAAATGATCTTTTCCAATGCATTATAAACAACTGGAAACATAGGGAAAGTTATTGTATTTCCTACTCTGCTGTATACACACTCTATATTTTTTTTATTCACGGTGGTTGTGAGCAAACAGTTAAAAAAGTTGGAAAGTAGGAAATGTGGGTGACTACTCTCCACTAAGAGCCTTTTGTGTCCTAAATTCATTCTTGAGAATGTCTGTAGTCAGAAATGAAGATGAGATACTTCATAGGTGCAATTCTTTATTGATTAATTGTTTAGCTGATTCAGAGACTATGACTTGGATGGTTTTCAGGTTTATCTCTGTTCATTTAGCCTTGAGATTGTCTGAAGTACTGTTTAGATGATTAATGACTTTAAATGTTTCCCTAACTTTACAAATCCCCAATGGTATACAACTTGAGTCATATTTTCATCAGTCATGCTTTGTACTATATTAGAATTCATTGAGGTAAATTTCCAAACTTTAATTTATTCAGCGTCTAACATGAAATTTTAATTTCTGGGAATCAGGATAGTCGTTAACTGGAGACTAAGAAATGTGTATCGATGGTTCGGAGGTAGAATACTCCCCAACCCGTCATGTGATCTAAATTTCGATTCTTTGGTAAAGCAATCCTAAACCTCTCTAAGCCCGTAGTAAGTCATGTAAAGTGGGAAGGCTGGGCATAAGACTAGCAATCCCATTGTGGTGATTGACAATTTCTATCTCTGTATTGTTTAAATACTTACTGTTGACTGTTGATATGTTTCTTATATGAATTGCATTCTAATTCCGCTAAATACAAATTCCTGATTGCTGCCCTCTCTGGGTTTTGTTTAGATTCTTATAATTCCGTCAGATCGAAATACTAATACTTCAAGTACAATAAATTACTACAAATTGGCGTCGCGATGGAGCTAAGTAACCTGGGAAAATTTCCTCTTAATGGTTCTCCGCGGGAGATTGCTGATTATTTGGAATGCTTTGATGCGTGGTGCATTTCCAAGAATGTTCGGGATGATAAAATACCTGCTCATTTCATCACTGCTATTGGGCTTGATGCATATAGCCTAGTGAAGAATCTGGCGTTTCCAGATAAACCCATTTCTCTGCCATATGCTAAGCTCCGTGAAATTCTTATAGATCACTTCCATGTAACTACTTTTGAGACCAGAGAGAGGGCTCACTTCAACAAACTGGTACGTTCTCCCAACCAGAAGATTCGAGAATTTATTCTTCAACTTCAAATTCAAGCCTCAAAGTGTAATTTTGGAGATCAGCTGCATACACAACTACGTGATCGTCTAATTGCTGGAATCAACATTCCTAAGTTAGAGAAAGAGTTAATTCAGATTCCTTCTTGTACCTTTCAAACTGCTAAAGATGTATGCATTACATATGAAGATGTCAACAATGAATACTCTGCTCCCACTACGTCAGTATCTGATGTCATGCTGTCCAAAGTCGAAAATACAAGTGTTCATGGAAAGAAATCCAAACTGCCGTCCACAGGTAATAGAATGCAGCCAGAGATCAAAAACATTAAACCGTGTTTATCCTGTGGAAAGTTACATCTACGAAGCACTTGCCGTTTTCGGAGTGCTAAGTGCTATAAATGTGGTAAAGTTGGACACATCAAGACGGTTTGCAGAAGTTCGAATACTTATGTTGCTCAACATTCTTATAATTCTCCCAAGCTGTCTAGTAAAATGGAGTCAATGTGTCTTTCAACCTTTCAAAATACTCAAGCTAATCCAATGAAAACCTCCACTACAAGTTCAGCAACTCAAGCGTCAACTGTTTTCAAAAATGAGGTAGCCGAGTTACAATGTGAACTGTCGAAAACACGGAAAAAACTGAATGAGATGAGAGAGCAACTGATTAAAATTGAGGAATTACTGCATATGCATAGACTGCGTCTGTGAATGCAGAGCATACAAGTACCCGTGAAAGTCCTGCAAAACTTTTCAAATCTCGAATTCTCAAAAAGCATCTGATGTCCACGACTTCTAATGTACATTATTACAAAGGTAATAACTATAGACCTTCTGTTGGAATTATACTACAAAAAATGGGAAATCGAGTGGTGAAGATATTAGACATCAAAGATCACTCAGTTCATAACGGACACCTGGACAAAGTGACAATAAATGAAGTAGGTCGTTCCAATTATTATTTTAATGATTCCGCTAATAATCCTGATTTTGTAGATAATTCAGAAATAGGTCCAGATAATACTGATGAAAATAATATCACAGAATCAGTTAGGTCGAAGCTACTTGCAAGCAAACCGAGACATCGTTATAAATACGCAAGGAGATATTCGAGGTGTGGCGGATGTGGTGATTGACAATTTCTATCTCTGTATTGTTTAAATACTTACTGTTGACTGTTGATATGTTTCTTATATGAATTGCATTCTAATTCCGCTAAATACAAATTCCTGATTGCTGCCCTCTCTGGGTTTTGTTTAGATTCTTATAATTCCGTCAGATCGAAATACTAATACTTCAATTACAATAAATTACTACACCCATCCTTTAGGAAAATTAAAACATCACTGCTACCGAAACTTTTAGCTCTAGCTTGAAGCCTCACGTTCCACTGGGAATGTAGAAGAATAAAATTTTCAAAAACAACAAAATGTCTGATATGAAGCCGAAACAATGGACGGGGAAATTTTCAGTCATTCAGTAGTTAACTTTCCTTGTCGGATAATAATTTTAATAATAGTACATAATATATATATATATATTTCTATGTACATTTGTTATAATAATAGATTTTTATAAATAAATATGTGTAATATTAACATCAACTTACACTATTTCTACCGTAATACATATAAACAAACATGCTTGCTATACCCATAAATACGAGTGCAATTAATAGCATGAAGAGAACAATCCAGCATTTAGTAAAATCAATACTGGTTGTACGAGCGAATACAGTAGCACATAGACAAATCATAAATGTTATTCCAACTGCTGTCAAAACATTATACGTTGAATAGGTACACGAAACCGCTGCCAATAGAAAAGATTGCGCAATTGTCTGTTAATAAAGAGAATACAATTTAGAAATTAGACTTTCAAAAATAATTTCTTTTGTATTAAGAGATAATTGTAATTGTCAGTAGGACTTGTGCAATGAAGTAGAAGTAATACAAGTGGTTTAACAGGAATCTGTCAATGGTTAGAAAAAGATACGACTCCCATGAATAAGAATGTCTACTCTTCTTTTGAAACATGTAGAGAAGATGACGAACTAAATTTAATAATTTCTCCCCCCAAAAACCTCTCTACTTGAATCTACAATTCAATGGAAATTTATCAGCAGAAATACTGAGAAACTGCCTGTCCCGCTCACTAAAGAAAACCCTCTTCGTGGCTGAACTTCGAATAACTTTCTCTACGAAACCAGTGACCATTGTTGGCCTCATCAGTGTGCATCTACCAATTCACCTGTTCCTGTAGGTATATCAGCCGCGTCCAGAGTTTACTATCCAAACTTATCATCGAACACTTACTCTCATGGTTTTATAAAGGAGAAAAAAGATCCCCTCGACTCAGCTCTATCCTGGAACACCTGATCAAAGCTGGACACCAAGTTAACCCACAAAGGATCTTCAAAGTCGTCTACAGAATATGTAGAAATCTCAATAAAGTAGTACGAATCAAACTTCTCCAAACCACAGAAGCAATGGCGATTCACATGTTAAATCATAAACTTTGCATACAGAAGAAGTTCGTTCAGTCATTAAATCGTAAACGAACCAGGTCTATCTTAACAGTAAATACGTAATAATTCTTGTTTCTTAATTTCATTACTTTCTTCTCCCACTCCACTCCATTTAACCTCTGCCCATTATTACCACTGTTGTTAACTTGACTCTCACTCAAATTTTAGTTGAATTCTTTTGAACCTCGTCAACTGTATGACGTCACTCAACTCAATTAATTAATTTGATTTTAGTTTCTACCTGATTAACCCTTTCTACATGACTTGATTTCTTATCTAAAATCAAACTTACAATTCAAATGACACACTTTGGGAAATATTGCTTTTGTTGCTAAGACAATTTACTGTATATATGTGATTGTACAGTTTGAGAATGATGTCACTGTGTGGTGAGGGCAGGCTGCTAGCCAATCGGTAGACATTAATTTACGTCAATGTCTAGGTCACTAATATTGAACGTGAGAAAATATGAACAAGGCTGATTCAACAACCAATCACAGCAGACTTAACGTGGGCAAATAAGATTCCCAAATATATCGCTTAACTTTCCGAGAAACCAGAAACAACCAATCAGAAGACTGTGTTTGTCTGCTTGAATAAGCTATAATAATGTACTTGAAATATATTTAAATACTTGCTGATTTCCGTAATAAAAGGATCTGTTGCCAGCCCTTGTCTTCTGTTGTTACAACTGAAATGAGTAAATCTTCGCTGAACGTATTTCCTCTTATATAACTAACTGATAATTCTAAAGTTAAAGTATGACTACTTAGGCTGAAATAGTTTAGCTTCGTTTGTCACTACATAGTAGAGTCATATCAATCTCCCCTGATATTTATACTCACAAAACTGGTGAAGTGTATTCCGTTCTATTTTAAGGTCGTTCTCCAATCATTTACAAATAACTAAGATCATTATCATGCTGTTATTACATCACAAATTGCTATAGAAGTAAAGTTTGTAATATATTATTATTTTCTTCCTATCGTCCTACAACTAAGGAATATAGTACCATACATTTACTAATCTTTGATGTTGCCTCAGTTCATTGACAATACTTCCTGGATAGCTACTTAGTTCACTTAGTCAACACAAACAGATGATGTACAAGCTAACAGGGTGTTGATGCCTTGAAAGCATCACTTATATCAGTTGAAAGTGTGTGGCTGAACAGTTAACAGTTTAGTGCGCAGTCTCAGATATCTGAGGTAAGGCGGTTAAAACATGCTGAAGACGTTTGTCCAGTAATATGACATCACCATCGTCTGTGTAATAGTGATGCAATGTTCAAAAAATAATTAGGTATGATCCTATTAATTTGCAATTAATAGTGTTCTCTGAGCTGGTTGGTTTAGTTGCATAGCTTTCGTCGTCTTTCTGGACGGCATCTTCAGCGCAGTATTTAGCATAAAGTTAAATGACTTAAAAATCTCCATGAATGATGATACAATTGCGTTGGAAGTTAGCCAAACAAGATGGAAAACAAATGGTGAAATTAATGATTACGGATGCACAAAACAGGATTAAAAAAATACCAGCATATGATTAGATTTCAAAAAGAGAAGCCTGAACAGACTCTTACCCCAGAACATCTGTCAACATGGAATACTGCCATTAAATTAATAAACGAACGGCACAAGGAGCGAAGACGAGTTGTCCTCAAAGGAAAACTAGCTAAGATATCCAAACAACCATCTGAAGAAACTCTAAATGATTGCGTAGTAGATCTACCGAAACAACCATTATCGAAAGCCAAAGAACAACTTCTTCAGAAAGGACTCAACTACAATACTGGTGACGCTTCAGTAACAGATTTTTGTGCTTCATTAGAATCATCATTAAAATTATCAAAATTGAATGAGGAAGTACAACAAGAAATACGTCAATGTATCATACCTATACTCCAACAGAAAAGACATAATTCCCAACTTAGCACTGAAGAGCGAAATGCATTAAAGAAACTAAAGAATAGAAAAGATATAGTTATTCTACCGCCTGATAAAGGAAGAACAACAGTAATCTTGGACACAGAAGACTACATAAAGAAAGCAGAGGATTTACTCAAAGATAATAATGTATATCAACAGTTGACAAAAAACCCTATACAAACATTCGATAACAAAATCAGAACTAACGAAATCAGGACAAATTACAGAACAAGATCAATAGCGAATGAGATCTAACGGACCCATTTTACCTCGATTTTATGGTAGACCAAAACTACACAAACCAAACATCCCCTTATGACCAATCGTTTCACTTCCAGGAACACCAACATATAATCTATCTAAAGAACTTTTCAGGAAGTTAAATTACCTAACAGAATCATGCTATCATTCTATCAATTCGACAATCCAATTTTAGAGAAAATCAAAAACATTCAGGTAGAAGACAATGAAATAATGGTGTCCTTTGATGTCACAGCATTATATACTTCAATCAGTCCAAAACTAGCAACAGAAACTATGCGACAATTACTCTACAGTGATGAAAACACAAAAACGCAATGTTCAACTTGGATAGAACTCATAAAATTATGCCTTACAACATACTTTCAATTCAATACTCAAATATGTGAGCAAATAAAAAGAACACCAATTGGATCGCCCATATCAGGATTAATAGCTGAAGCCGTTATGCAATGATTAGAATTAATAGCTCTACCTATAATTAAACCGAAAATCTGGGTAGGTTACGTTGATGATACATTTGTAATAATTGAGAAAAATGATTTACAATATACCCATAAATTGATAAACAACATATCTGAAGACATCAAATTCACAAGTGAAGAAGAATTAGATAACAAAATCCCATTTTTAGATGTCTTAATCAGGAGAACCAACACAGGAAATTTAGAAACACAAGTATATAGAAAGTCAACGCACACAGATCAAATACTCAACTATACTAGCGATAATCCAGTTACTCACAAAAGAAACTGTGTGCAGACATTGTTCAGAAGAGTTCAAACACATTGTAGCACACCAGAGTTGAAAAGAATGGAAGAAAAATACTTACAAACGGTCTCCAAGAAGAATGGTTATCCACAAAATTTCATCAAAAAGTGTTTAAAGTCGAATCAAAGCACCAACAAAGAACCATCAACAAAGACCAAAAAGAAATTTATCCTACCATACATCTAAAATATCTCTGAAATAACGGCTAGAATAATGAAACCGTTTGATATAGATGTAGCACAGAAACCAGCCGAATCGCCTAATTCGATCTTATGCAAACCAAAAGATCTGATAGAAAAAGGAGATAAAATTAACACTATTTACAAAATAAATTATATGAACTGTAACAAGCATTACATCGGCCAAAGTGGGGGTCCCCTTCGAATAAGAAACCAAGAACACAAATCAGCCGTGAAAAGACATGATATAAATTCTTTAGTATCAATGCATACAGACGATTATGGACATTAGTTTGATTGGGATAATGTCGAAATCTTAGACAGAGGAAACACCAAAAGTGCAGTCAGGGAATTCCTAGAAGCCTGGTACTCACTCAAACGAAAATGCCATTAATAAACACGTTAATATAGATGAAATATATCAACTAATAAAAAGCAAATCAGGTGACCAGAAAGTTTAAAATCCCAATCAATAGAAAACGGTCAATACATGTGTAAAATGGTTGGTCACCAGGAGACGCAATTGTATCATCATTCATGGAGATTTTTAAGTCATTTAACTTTATGCTAAATACTGCGCTGAAGATGCCGTCCAGAAAGACGACGAAAGCTCTGCAACTAAACCAACCAGCTCAGAGAACACTATTAATTGCAAATCATCCACCTGAGTTACAAATCTTTTCTATTGTGATCCTATTGAGCCCACAACTTCGTTTAATGTCAGCCAAGGCGACATCAATAAACAGAAGAGTAAAAAAAATCAGTAATTCTCAACCACATTCAGAATAACGTATCTGTGTATCTACAGAAATCTTATATGGAAATGTGAAGATTTCACTTAACTTCTTCACAATTCAATCCTAAATTATTAATTATTATTATCATAGTTAGGTTGTACATTATTCGTGACCTTTTATGTATTTATTGCATTGCAAATATAGAATTATAATTACTAAGACACTGCTGTAAAGGCGAAAGAATTCGAGAAAATAAAACATTATTATATAGAAGAATACGGTATCTGCAAGATACCTAACAACTAATTTACTGCTTCATAATTTAATCAAAAGTGACCATTAACTCAGGTTACCTTTTAGGTACTGATTTTGTTAAGTTTGGGAGAGATCACAAATAGCATACCAGGGATTTCCTTATTCCCAGGTGTCACTTTCGTGTTGTTTTTTAATCTATTTATCAACTTTCTGTTAACTTAAGAGATCTGTTTCCAAGATTAACTTTTTATAAGATGTAAAAGAAACACGTGAACATTGCCTTAACTAACATGATACCTTCTTCATGTGTACTACTGGATGAATTTAGCAAGTACTGACGACTATGAAATATGAATTCAAATCTTTATTTGATTACAATTTAGGTTATTTTATGCTGACTTGTATGAATTTGTTTGCAGCTTCAATAGGTTATCAGTAAGTGTCATGATGACTAGGCATGTATGTTCACATTTTTGAACAGTGAGTGAAAATGCTTCGGTATTCATGAAATTGAATGGTTGGAGGCAATTGGCAGGAAGTCTTAGATATAGGTTTTGTGCTAGTTGGCACTTGTCAGCAAAACCTCCTGCCGATTGCCTCCAACCATTTAATATCATCATATCAATGTGCTACCTAGAATGGTGGCCACATTGCAAACCTGACTGATAGAATTCAGTCTGAAAGAGAGAAAGGAATAGATACATCACACTAGTTATTAGTTTCCAATCAAAATACTTTGGTATTGCGGTTAAGTACTAATAAAAATGGTTTTTTGATTTAGAATTTCTAGTCAACTGACATTATTCATGCGACACTTGTGCATTATTAAGTGTAATTTTCAAAGTTGCATAAGAAAACTACTATTATGTAATTTTGTTAGCATGAAGAGTCTTATGTAACTCTTGTCACTGACATGTTATCTTCCTTCAACTACTTTTAGATTTACTTAATTCCATTCCTGTTAATGAAAAATACTAAAAAATTATGACAGAAGAATTATTTACCATGACCTGAAAGAAATTTATTATTAATCTAGCATACTATTAACTACTAAATGAGTAGTTGAAAGAAAAATAACCGTAATTATCAGCAGTTTGGCCGAATAAGAGTTAAATTAAACAATCGCTGTGATATCTAACTGTTTATTGGAAACTGAATTGAATAACTGAATCACCTAAGAAAATATGGCTACACTTTCCAAGCAATTTCGTATAATGTAACTAACTTCTTAGCTTTAAGATAGACATCTCCCACATGATTATAAATTGTCTTAGAAATAAAATCTAACTTCTTTCTAATCTACGTGTAGTTAACGAAACCAAAGGCTAAGAATAGTGATCTTATTTACTTACTAGTATTATCAGTGCAATAAAATTTGTTGGGTACGATCTCCTGAAACTTTCAATGCAACACAAAGGAAAGTAGACCATAGTAAATATTCCTCTGTGAAAAAAAAAATAAAGAGATTTCATGGTTTGCTATTACTAGATTTTAAATCAAAAATTAGTCAAGTACGAAATTTTCACATGAATAATCTTCCGTCTAAATTTGCCTTAGCAAATAAGATAATTTGCAGTACTTAGAGTTTTCAGGCTGTTAGATTGGTAAATAGGCTGTCCCTGTAGACCGAAGTTCCTGGGTTTGGTTACAAATGTAGTCATGGGTGTGCACTGTTGAAGAGTTTCAAGACAGGACAAAATAACTACCCAGTGCGACTTGGTCTTTAATTGTTCGTGGTGGAACTGACATTGAAATAACCTATCTGCTGACTAGAATAAACTTCAAACTCACTATTCCAACGTGTATATTTCTTTCACTCACCTTGTCATTAATACTTTAGAATATGAACAATTAGATTTGTTCATTTTTATACATGCACACTTCATGTAGAGAGATTAATTTTATTTGAAATGGAGTAAAACTGTTCCCATCACGTTCATCAAAGTCAAACGATAGGATGTAATACTGAGATACACTAGTAAATTAAGATTTTTAGCGTAGGCAAAACTTCACTATATATATATATATATATATATATATATATGAACAGAACTGTATGATTTCCTCTAATGGCAATAAAATGAAATAATTTCAGATTCGTAAGACGTCATTCAACTGGTTTTGATTTTCATCAACATCTAAAATTGATGATCGATTGCTAGAGATGAAATTACTCACTAGATGTGGAAGGAAGGAAGCACGAAACCTTGGTCAAAGGCTGCGTACCAATTGCCTCCAGCAATCTAGCATGTAGAAGGACATGTCAGCATGAACTTCTACTTTCATGACTTTGTGCGTTGTTACAAAGTTAAACAGAATAATAATAACAATAATGAAATAAACACGAACATGTAAAATGTTTCAATATTTAATTGTTGTAGGCAAACATACAGTCGGAACTTTAACTGGTAAAAATCCAAAGTCTTTATGATTCAGATAAATTTACTGAACACATGACAAAAGTTCCATATTACTGTCTAACACAATTTGAGAAAATCACTTGAGCTTTATAATATACAAACAGTGAAGGAATGAACAGATAGATTCATTAGATCACCTCAAAATTTCAAATGTAATCATTTGCAGGCTATGCAGTGGTATGGGTTAAGTCACCCTCAGTAATTCAAGTGTTAATACCTCCATTTGTTTATTCTCTTTCATTCTACTGTACTGTTATCTAATTCCATGTTAATTTGTTTATTAGGTATATCAACAAAATGTTTTGTTCGAAACTTGGGTTTTATAGTTTTATTTCCAGGGGAAAATATACAAATAAACTGAGGGAGTTGCCATGGGATCACCAATATTCCCAGTTGTAGTAGATATATTCATGAATAGGTGGGAAAACATGGCGATTGAAACGTTCACCTCCACCCGAAAAGTAGGGTGGAGGTATGTAGATGACACATCCACTGTACTTTGAAAACAAGATATAGATAGATTTTTCTAACACATTAACTCAAAGGTGGAGGCAATTCAATCCACTAATGAATTGGAAAGTCAGGAAGGGGAGCTTCCAATGTTAGACTGCAACGTAAAAAGGAAAGAAGATGGGAAGTTAAACACCAGTGTTTACAGGAAACCCACACATTCAAACAGATATTTGGATTTCCGACCATCTCATCCTATGTCAGTGAAAATAGGATTGGTGAAATGTTTAAGTAGTAGAGCACAAAACTAAGTAGTACCAAGGAAAATCTAAGACAGGAAGTGGGACATATAAGAGAAGCTTTGAAACTTAATAATTACCCCGATAAGTAAGTCAGAAAGTATGTAGGGAAACGTAAAAATAAAAATAAAATAAATGATGATAGTAGTGATAGTGATAATAATAATAATATTAATGACGGCATGCATATCAAACATGCACAAGACAACACCAACAATAGGGAACCTAAATCATCAGTAGTAATTCCATACAAGGAACAAACCTCGGTAACTTCATACAGAATTCTTAACAAGGTAGGAATAAAAGTGGCTGGCATTCAAACTCATAAACTCAATTATAAACATGCTTTATCCGTTAACGGATCCTGTGGAGCCTTTAAAACAAAACAATTTAGTTTATCTAATACACTATCTGCAATGATTGTCAGGTAAAAATTCATAGGTTAAAGTAGTGGAACAGGGGCAGTCAGACTAGCGGAGCTCAAAAGCCTAGCAAAATCTAGATAAGTTGACCCGAATAAGATAAGAAATCTAGAGAATAGTTCAGCTGTAGTACTCACTGTATGCAATTGCACACAACCACACAATAGGATGGATGGGATAAGCTGACACTTCTAAAATCTGATGTAATAGCAGTGTGGAGATCGATAACAGAAGCTTTGTTTATCGAATCAACTGCAAACATGTGTAATAGGAATGATTCAACACCTGTCCCAGATATCTGGAAAATTCTACTACCCCAACGACTACAAATAGGTGAGAACAAAGAAAACCATAAAACTCAAGTTTCGAAGTCGTGTGGTTATAACTGATATGATTATGAACAATAAATTCTGTTCGAAACTTTGTCGTCCAGTAAATAATACTGTTTCACTGTGTGATATATCTAATAAACAAACTAATATGGAAATACTTACTGTCACTTTGCCCAAGTTTTACACACATATTAATATGTATTGTCATCTGGACTGTTACATTAATATCAGTAAAAAGTTTGAGCATTGTGGATTAGATCAAATAAAGTATAATTATATTTCAATAGTTTACGCACAATGATAAGTTTTGTTATTGGTAATATTTCGAGCAAAATTTCCAATAACAAAGCTTATCATTGGATGTAAACTATTGAAATATAATTATACTTTAATAGATTGTTCCATTTCATCTAAGAATACGTTATTCTATCCTCCGACCATACGATGCCTCAAATCAAAATTTCTTGGCGCATGTATGAGTAGATTTGTAAACAGTCAGGGATTATCATCTTAAATTCAAGAATTCTTTCGGCGTTAATATGAACCGAAAGGCAAAAACCAGACTACACCCTGGTGTTACTCAAGTTTTAATTCTGTTTATGCTCCCAGTATTGAACAATTTCATTAAACTCATGCTAGACTGAGAAGCTTTGTTTTAGCAGTCCAGCATAAGCTAAAAACATTGAATGATGAATAATTGTTCAGAAATGATTATGATGAAAAGTGTAAGCGGTTAAAATAAAAGAAACATCGTGCATAAGAATAAGAGATTCAGAATGTGTACAAATCATATTTCAGAATCAGTAGTCTGAAAAGAAGGAAGGAAAAATCTCTGGTTCTTCTGAACAATACTCCTACTTCCAAGTGTGCACAGTTCTAATGACCACTATTTCTGATCGCTATTCACCACTTAATGCCTTTAGAGTTAGTATAAGATTACCAAACCAAATTTCTCAATCAATAAATTTTATCTTCCTGATTTGTAATTTCTTATGTTGACCATAATGCTTGTAGGAAAACGACTGTAAGGAAATCACAAAATGACATCATCTGTCAATATTTACATTCTTGACGCCTTATTTAATGATAATTTAAACGCGGACGCTGACGAAATGCAGAGTCTTCTAAACACCTTGAGCCGCAATCTACGAATGTTTGGCATGCTATTCGCTCCCGCCAAATGCAAGATGATGTTACAGGACTGGACTAAATCGACGCCTAGTTTAAAAATAGGAAGTGAAGTGGTAGAGCACGTTGACCGCTTCACTTATTTGGGAAGTACCATCAGCCAGTGCCAACGGGCTGATCTCTGACGAAATCTCAGCACGAATACAGGGGGCTCGTTTCGCATTTGTTAGTTTACGCCGACTCTGGCGTAGACGAGATGTTCGACTATCGACCAAAGGGCGGGTGTACTGCTCATCAGTCCGCTCCGTCCTCCTTTATGGCTGAGAGTGAGACCTGGCCACTGAGAGTGGAAGACATGAAAAGACTAGCTGTCTTTGATCATCGATGCCTGCGCTCTATTTCCTGTGTAAAGTGGCATAATAAGGTGAGCAACATTGAGGTTAGGCGTAGAGTTCTAGGTAAACAGGGGAAATCAATCGACGAAGTCGTGAAGCTACAAAGACTGAGATGGTTAGGACATGTGTTACGTATGCCAAGCCATCGCCTCCCTCGACGAGCTATGTTAGCGGATATAGGGTCAGACTGGAAAAAAGCTAGCGGCGGTCAAACAAAAACTTGGCCTAACCAGTCAATGAAATCCACAACAGTTGGTCTAAGCCACGTAGGAAGGTGTAGACTTCCAGGCTGGGGTCCTCAGGACGGTAAAAATCTATGGTTGGAAACAGTTGGTGACATGGCTCAAAATCGTTCTCAGTGGCGCAGATGCATCCACTCCTTGTGACTTATGATCTCCTATGAAACTGTTTTGTTCATCGTTATTACTATTCCTTTGTCTCACACCTCTGCTCACTGTTTCTGTTATGCTTTTCTTGTACCTTCTTCTCTTGCTTCGCGTGCTACACGGAGTGTGGCGACTTGAACTTCCGCACATTTGTGCAAAGTTCTATGTCGAAAACAGACAGACAGACAATTTAAACGCGACTTATCTTTTCAAAAAAATATAAATACTGACTACTAAAACAATACCGTTTGAATAATATCTGTCATACAAAGAAACTTCTTTTTCAATCATTTGTATACTTTTGGCATACATGTGTCACTAAGTTGGGTCCCAGTGGCTTATTGGTAATAAAAACACCATCTGATAACCGGAACGTCCTAGGTTCGAAACCCAGTGGGTGCATACTGTCGATGAGTCCCAAACTAGAATGAAATAGCCGCCCAACACTCTCAGTTGGTTTTCAATATTTCTCTAAATGATATCAATCCGTTATCAAACTTGAAGGAATAAATTAAATCCTTACAAATCAACTCTTGGAAATACAAAATTAACTATTCTATATGAAATAATATCAGCAACAACTGAGTGAAAAAAACTTACAGTGCTAACCAAAGCGTAAAAGGGTTTTTTGTAACCCATATTGAAATTCCGGGTCTAAAAATATGAGTAAATTTCAGAAATTTGTTTATCTTATACGTAAGGTTTCAAAAATATGACTACCAATATAACTGTTATATAATTCTTTTTTCTCGAAAGAATTACACTCCCTGAATTCATCATACATATTCAAAGTAGGGGGATTCAGAAATCGAAATACACATGTTTGACTGTTTTAACTCGATGTCTTTCAAAGTACCAATCATAATGAAGGAGTGAAATAAAAAAAAATACGCGAAATAACTAGATGATAGTGGTATGGCCAGTGATTTAATGGTTTCTAGTTACCATTTATCGTATTCACTATATTCTCACACTGATTTCTGATACCTGCAGCAGAAATTACAACCAGTAATTCAGTATACTTCAAACTAAAAAAGTGTCAGCATGCTCCAAACATGCTCATTAGCTGTGTATCATAAGAATAGTCGCAGTGCAGTTGAGACGGTAAGCACTTTTGTAAAAAGTAAAATAAACAAAACCTGGTTTATTTTATACAAACTGTCACTGACGAATTGGTTCCAGAGCTTCAATCTGCAAATCAGAGATGCTGAGGAAACATTATGAGCTCTTAAGGCAGGTAAAATTCAATGTGTTAGATTCTTCAGTTTTCTGGAAACGAAGACACATTTAGTTCCATATTAGATAAGTTTATTTGGTATAAAACACAGTATTAAAATCTGGATGACATTTCGAGCACAGTCTATTCCTCATAACCACATCAATTTGATCAATAAACTGTACTTGAGACGACATCTTTTTATCAATAAGATATTACTGTGTCATATGAAAGAGGTCACTTCATTCACTTACCTAGGGAGCATTGTATCAACTACACGAATTCGAAACGGACGAGGATGTCAAATCGAGCGAGAATCGGGAAGGCGAGAAACACATTCATCAACCAACCTGAAACCAATCTGGAAATCTTCGTCACTAAGCCAGTATCAACAACAAAATTCGGTCGGATTTTCAATACAAACGTCAAGTCAGTCAGTTCTTCTATACGGATCAGAAACTTGGCGGGTGGGTCACAAGGAACAGGTATTTCCAACAGCCTGTTGCAGACCTTTATCAACTAACAAGTGTCTTCGCTGGATCTATACTGAAGATCAGATGGCCGGGCGAGAAAGAATCACCAAGAAGAAACTATGGGAACAAACAAACAAAACAAGAACTAATCGCCAACCAAGAAATATGCAGGAGAAAGTGGAGATGGTTTGGAGACACATACTCGCTGAGGAGGCCGCTGGGTGACATCGCGCGTCAAGTCATTATTCGAATGGAACCCGAAAGGGAAGCGGCTAGTGAGACGTCAGTGCGAGGGTGACATGGAGGAGATCGTGTGAAGAGGAGTTGCAACAGTATGGACTAACATGGATGCAGGTGAAGAGTACAGCAGAAGACAGAAGTGGCAAGTGGAGACGTGCAGTTGAAGCCCTATGGTCCACTAGGAACCCAAGGGAGCAATAATAATAATATGAAATAAACTCATGAAATATGGAATTATGCCCTAACACAACGCCCAAATTCTACTCTTATATAAATACAAATTTAATTTAAAGCAATTAGTTACCTTTATGAATTTTTAGACATTTAATTTATCCGACAGGTAAAATACACTTGCTCAACACATTTTAAAAATTTGTAACTAAATTTGTGTAACTGTATTTATTAAGATTACCACAGTTCTAGTGCTAACCTTTCAAGTATGATTGGAGAAATCGATTAAGTAATCAAAATTGTGAATCGGTTATTAGGAAAGCCAATTCAAACAATCAGACTAATCTTCAATTTAATTTTTTCACCAACTGACATCATGTTAAGTGTCACTGAAAAACGAGGGGAATTTGACAACCATGCACACACACACACATACAAATGTGAAGAATTACACTCAGTCAGTTTACAAGGTGAGCAAGCTATTATTCAACCTGAAGGTCTGAATTCTTTGACTTATGATTACGAAGCTTTTTGTCACTGTCTGTATATAATCGTTATCGTCGAAAATCTTCAGTTTCTATCCTCACAGTGAACTTAATGGAACAGATATCCGACAGACTCATCCTGAAGTCGATCAATAATTAGAAGTGAATTGAAATTTTAATCCAGTTTATGTCGGTTAATAATAATAATAATAATAATATTGGTCTGTTCCAAAACACTATTAATGGTATGCTGTGGAATTTTCAGCGTTTAGTAAAATATTGCATCTAGTTTTTTTTCAAATAACATTAAAAATATTTGTAAAGATAATATAACAGTATTGTTAATGGTACTTCTTATTTGGTATTTGTAGTGAGAGTAAAATCATAAACATACAAAAAATTTTAAAATATTAATGTTAATGTTAGTAGCTAAAATTATCAGTTCACTGTAAAATTAACCACAAAGCCAAACGAATTTCAACGGATCCAACAGCTATGTTTCGAATCAAAGTTATCGTGCTGACTGTTAGCTTTCAATGTCCAATGTAGCTGGTGTGTGAATACGAATGTACAACAGCAGTACAATATTGCACCTCTGATTAGTTTTTATTGTTTTTTTCTCCAACTCTTTAGGTTACCGCAAAAAGATATCACAATTAACATTACTGGTTGTCGAGAAGATGCTTTATGCAAGACTGAAGCTATCCAACAGAATTTAACTGCCGTGTAAAAGTGTTTATCTTATTTCATATACAATAATTTACTGTGTATACTTTTAAAGGTGGCATTTTCATACATGACACTACTCAATGAAGTCATCATTTCTTGACTTGGATCATGTATGTAGGTATAGGCTGTTTGGTTTGAGTACCTTAGATGCTGGGAATTTTCGGTGAGAGATTCCTTTTGACATAACTGACATTGGCATGAAGTTTTCAACACCTTACCACCTTCCAAATCCTAGAAATCTTCACTGACCTCCATTCAGTTATTTTCTCAGTTGCCCTGTAGTATCACCCTGTTTGTGTTCTCCATCTTGTATACCCTGCGAAGTTTGGTAACTCAAAACAATGTACTTCTGTTCTTCGTTATACACTAGCTGACTCACTACATCTGTCTAAACATATAGTATTCATCATGTCAGCAGTCGAACTCATAGTACCTTGATTTATTTGCAAATAAGCCTAAAAGTCCATGTTTTAATGAATGCATTTGATTCTTTACCACCTCCTTCTCCTTAGACTTCAACATCAGCAGCAGCAGCTGCAACAAAGTACACATTGGCCTAATATTCAATACTCCTGTCAGATTGCGTATGAGAACTATTGAAGCTAACAGTTCTGCAAAAATATGATTTTTCAGCTAATGTTTTGATCAATGACTAATTAGTTGAAGGCTGTTTGAAATATCATTGAAAGTGACTAGGCATACTGTTTGTACTTGTGGGTTTCAGACACTTAGATGGAAGGAGGGTTTAGACTTCCAGGTTGAGGTTCTGATGATGTTAGGAACCTATGGCTAGAGACTACTGGAAATATGGCTCAAAATTTTTCTCACCAGCTTAGATGTATTCGCTCTTTGTGATCTCCCTTATCCATTAAACTTTTATGTTTATCTATGTTACTATTCTTTCTACTGCAAGTTTCTGTTTCTAATAGTCCTTATCAGCCTTGTTTTCTCTTTCTGTTTTCTACCTTTGTGTGCTACATGAAATGTGGCAACTTTAACTGCTGCAATTATGTGTAAAGTTCTGTGTTGAAACTCAACCAGTTAGAGTAGAAGGAATAAGCGATAAAATAAGGGCTAACAGCTCTGCTCTAACGTACAATCATGAGTGGTCGCGGTAAAGGTGGAAAGTCTTGTGCAAAAGTAAAGACTAGATCTGCATGTGCTGGTCTTCAGTTTCCGGTTGGTCCCCGACCGAAAGCTGCTACCTTGACGTGGTGGTCGGGCTTGAACACCGCAGTGATCTATTCAAGCTATACTGGCTGAGACTTATGTCTCTTGAGGTTCTACCATGCCAGGCAGGTTGTTTGGATAGCGGTTAAACAAAAAGCAGCCACCCTATCCAACATCATGATAAATACAAAATCACAAAATTTCATGCCGGATCGGCCGTGGCCCGGATTAACAACGACCGCGCTTCCTGCTGCCATGTCACAGGGCAGGAGTGATAAGTATGCTACTGAGGCACACCAAACAAAAAAGAACGAACAAAAACAGGCCACGCGTGACCGGCCTCAAGCAGTTGTCCCCTGGGCTCTGCGGTCACGCAACCAACTTCCACGGTGAGGGCAACCGGGAAGTAACAATCGCCCTCACAATCCGAAACGCACGCGAAATCTCTACTTCCGGTTGGTCGTATACATCGTCCTTTGCGCAAGGATAACTATGCTGAACGCGTTAGTGCTGAAGCGCCCATCTACTTGGCGGCTGTCCTCAAATACCTGGCCGCTGAAGTGCTTGAATTGGCTGATAATGCCGCGCGTGACTACAAGAAGACCCGTATCATCCCTCAACACTTGTGATTGGCCATCCACAACGATGAAGAGTTGAACAAACTGCTCGGTGGTGGTACCATCGCCCATGGTGGTGTCCTAACATCCAGGCTGTGTCGCTGCTTGAGAAGACCGAAAAGGTGAAGGCCTAAGAGCTTCGGTGTGTAGCTTGGCAAACAGAGAACGTGAAACCGGCCCTTTTTAGGGTCACCCTGTGCGTCGGTGGCACAGCGACTAGGACTCTAGCCAACCATGCACATGGACCAGGGTTCGATCCGCTGTCGGCGCACATATGATATCAGTTGGTCGGCCTGCCACATTCGGGCTACCGATATCACATGCTGAGAACTCCATACTTGTACTAAAATATAGTGTAGAATCAAGCTATAATCATAGCAACATAACACTGGTTTTTCTTCGGGATTATCTAAATGCAATTCTGATGCTCATTGACAGGCAGAAAATTCAAATTATGTAACCTTTGTGATTAAATTCACTCATCACAACATTTTGAAGAAACTGAGAGTTGTTTGATTTTCACTAAAGTTTGATTTTGAATTATGAGCGTTTCATTCTGTATTAGATGAGTTCATTTTAAATATCACAAGGTGCGGCAGTCTTAACAACTGGATGTTGTTTCGAACGTAAATTATTACTCATAGTCATATCAATTTAGTCACGGACTCACAGTTTGTCTTATGTATATTTTCTTTCTTCCTCCCTCTGTCTCGCTTGAACTTCCCCTTGTTGTTTGTTGCTACCTTCCATATCTGTTGTAAAAATGTTCCATCATCCGATTACATGTCTGTGGTGCTGAATTGGTAAACAAAGCTTCGGTGATTAACATGTCTCTCTCTATCTAGCTATGCATTGTACTCACTGGCATATAACTGTTAATAATGCATCAGTGTGTGGTATTTAAAATAAGCTTATCTAACATAGAATTACATTCTACCACAGTACCCAAGTTCTACACTTACATTAGCGTTTCATTATTAACTTTTAACTTTGTTAAAAAGGCTACAATAAGGCTGTTTTTAAACTTGTTGTCGCCTTTCTTACTAATGTTAGAACTTATTTACAATATCTGACTTACATAAGCATGAAAATTAAAATGATTGCTGCAGTTATTGCTAACTGTACCGTTAGAATTGAGTAGACCTGTTAACAGAGAATTCAAAAAGAAGAAGGAAGATATTTGTGGTGATTGACAATTTCTATCTCTGTATTGTTTAAATACTTACTGTTGATTGTTAATATGTTTCTTATATGAATTGCATAATAATTCCGCGAAATACAAATTCCTGAATTCTGCCCTCTCTGTGTTTTGTTTAGATTCTTGTAATTCGGTCATCTTGAAATACTAAAGCTACGATTACAATAAATTACTACAAATTGGCGTCGCGATGGAACTAAATAACCTGAGAAAACTTCCTATTAATGGTTCTCCGCGGGAGATTACTGATTATTTGGAATGCTTCGATGCGTGGTGCATTTCAAAGAATGTTCAAGATGACAAAATACCAGCACATTTCATCACTGCTATTGGGCTAGATGCGTATAGCCTAGTGAAAACTCTGTCGTTTCCAGATCAACCTATTTCTCTGTCATATGTCAACATTCGTGAACTTCTGATAAATCATTTTCATGTAACTACATTTGAGACCAGAGAGAGGGCTCAATTCCATAAACTGGTTCGTGCTCCCAACCAGAGGATTAGAGACTTTATTCTGCAACTTCAAATTCAAGCTTCAAAGTGTAACTTTGGAGATCAGCTGCATACTCAACTACGTGATCGTCTAATTGCTGGAATCAATATTCCTAAGTTAGAGAAAGAGTTAATTCAGATTCCTTCTTGTACCTTTCAAACTGCTATTACATATGAAGATGTCAATAATGAATACTCTGCTCCCACTACGTCAGTATCTGATGTTATGCTTTCTAAAGTCGAAAATACAAGTGGTCATGGAAAGCAATCCAAACTGTCGTCCACAGGTAATAGAATGCAGCGAGAGATCAAAAACATTAAACCGTGTTTATCCTGTGGAAAGTTACATCTACGAAGCACTTGCCGTTTTCGGGGTGCTAAGTGTTATAAATGTGGTAAAGTTGGACACATCAAGACGGTTTGCAGAAGTTCGAATACTTATGTTGCTCAACATTCTTATAATTCTCCCAAGCTGTCTAGTAAAATGGAGTCAATGTGTCTTTCAACCTTTCAAAATACTCAAGCTAATCCAATGAAAACCTCCACTACAAGTTCGGCAACTCAAGGGTCAACTGTTTTCAAAAATGAGGTAGCCAAGTTGCAATGTGAACTGTCGAAAACACGAAAAGACCTGAATGAGATGAGAGAGCAACTGATTAAAATTGAGGAATTACTGCATATGCATAGACTATGTTTGTTGAATGCAGAGCATACAAGTACCCGTGAAAGTCCTGCAAAACTTTTCAAATCTCGAATTCTCAAAAAGCATCTGATGTCCACGACTTCTAATGTACATTATTACAAAGGTAATAACTATAGACCTTCTGTTGGAATTATACTACAAAAAATGGGAAATCGAGTGGTGAAGATATTAGACATCAAAGATCACTCAGTTCATAACAGACACCTGGACAAAGTGACAATAAATGAAGTAGGTCGTTCCAATTATTATTTTAATGATTCCGCTAATAATCCTGATTTTGTAGATAATTCAGAAATAGGTCCAGATAATACTGATGAAAATAATATCACAGAATCAGTTAGGTCGAAGCTACTTGCAAGCAAACCGAGACATCGTTATAAGTACGCAAGGAAACATTCGACGTGTGGCGGATGTGGTGATTGACAATTTCTATCTCTGTATTGTTTAAATACTTACTGTTGATTGTTAATATGTTTCTTATATGAATTGCATAATAATTCCGCGAAATACAAATTCCTGAATTCTGCCCTCTCTGTGTTTTGTTTAGATTCTTGTAATTCGGTCATCTTGAAATACTAAAGCTACGATTACAATAAATTACTACAATATACTTATATGTTCATACACTTCAATGTAGTTCTTGTCACGAATTAACGGAAGTTATTAAACAAATACATAAACTTATCATTTTAAAGTTTGTTTATTTCAGGAATACTAAACCTTTATAATATATCCATTCAGCACTCAAATAACAGTTCTTTTTGGAAATTCATCATGAAATTATAAGGTTTCTACGAGATCGTCATGTAACCAGAAGGTCCTGGGTGGATGCGTACTGCTGAGGAGTCCAAAACCAGGACGAGATGGCGGTCGAGTACTCTCAGCTTTCTCAATGTTTCCCTAACCGATGTCAGTGCGCGATGAAATCCTGAAACCGATCAAATCCCTGTAAACCAATAGCTCTTTTTATTTACAAAGTATATTTATCCGTAGAATACTTGAAAATAACTTTTTTTCATTGAGTTACGTAATCAAATCATAAATTCTCATAGGTATTCTATTATGTTCATGAGTCCAGAAGTTCCAGGTTTTGAAGCCAGTATGCTGTCGTTCAACAATAATTAAGGATACTGCTGCCTGAAGTTTACTTGTGAGACCTCCGAAGCTTTACTCCCATTACAGATGTGAATATATCTGTATTTCTCAACTAGTGAACTCCAGGGACTACAGTTTTCTATTAAAACAGTTGCTGAATTTCATTTACTGTCACAGCTAATAATTTTACCATTCTACAAAAAGCTGTTTTTTAGATGAATAAATATGCCATAAGGATTTATACAGAGATTATTGTTGCTGACTTATTTCACCAGGTTTCTGTTACCATTTATATACTAAGAAAATGTGAATAAACACCAAGACCTTCGTCCTTTTTTCTTGAATGTATGTACTTGCGACCATGTGTTATGAACCAAAACGAGCTAACTGTGGCCATAAATCCATATGACATGAAATAGGTACTTGTTTGAGGTTATGTGAGACCATATTGGTAGACTGAGTAATGGAGACAGGGATAAAGATGAACATAGAGTAGAAAGAAGTGGTGAAGACACCTAACCGATCAACCGTAACAAATACCAGTCACTATCGACAGGTGACATCTAAAGGAAGTCGTCTCTTTCGCTCGCTAGCATCGTTTCAAACAGATTTGGATGGAATAGGGAAAGTGAGGAAGTGATTCATTACCATGAAATCATTGTGGAAATCTACAGCTCTTAGAATAACGAATAAGATCAAAATTTTCAACATTAATGTGAAGACATGTTTATATAACGTTCAGACTTTCTTGCAGGTCTCACCATGAGCATTTCAGACAACTTGATGCAGATTTGGATTGTGTGATAAGTGGACAGATCAAAAAGTTTTTAGTGTGAATATCGTCATCCTTTTCTTTCATCTTTATGATGACTGAGTAATTCATTCATTCTAATAGTTTTGTTAACGTATCAGTGAAACACTTTCGATATAATTTCCTTTCGCTATCTTTAAATGAGGAGAAATAACCTAATATATTGTAAAAAAATTAAATTTATTTAAAAGATACTGGGATATTCTCAGATTACATCATCACCAATCGACTTTGTAAAACTATTTTGAAGTGAACACTTCTACCGACTAACATATTAATGTTAGGTAATTGGAAATAGCTGAATGGAAGCCCCGGACATAGGTTTTGCGCTTATAGTCAACTGTCACTAAGGCCCACTTGCAGGAACTGGTATCCCGTCCGAGATTCTTACCTGTGTTGATCAATGTTTCAATCATAAAGGTTACTACTAAGCTATTCACCAGTCACTGGAGATTAAACAGGTTCACATGCCTAAGTCTCAATGGTCCTGACTAAATCAAGGTATATTCATCATATTTTAGAACTCAGTATCATATCTATACTATTTAAAATGCTCTACATGTTAAGGAATAATTGAGAGCTTTTGTACAGTTCATTTCTTCAGTCTTCTCTAATACATTTCACTGACATAAAATAAACAAAACGTGCTTAGGACAATAAATCTTATTCATAAAATGTCCAATTCTTTAAAAATAATTGTATCATGATGACTTAGATAAACTCAATAACCCAATCCATTTAAATTTGTCTTTATCCAATACAACATTTACTGAGACTTTTGAATCTTCTATTGACTAGTTTTCCTGGACTAAAATGCTTGATCTTTGTTGGATTATTGTCTTCTAGTACAAACGCTCTGATTTTGTTTGGTTGGTAGCATCTAATAGTAAAATCCCAGCTACTGATGGCTCAGCATCCTAGTGGTAACGCTTTGGCATTTGGAACCATTAGTGATAGGCCCGATGTTTAGTGGAAATACTGTCAACTCGTTAACATACTAATACATTTGGCTAACGAGTTTCAAGTGGAGGGAAATACATGTCCTATATTCCATTACTAGACTTCATCGATATAACATTGGTTACCGTAGGAAATGGTCGTTCTCTAAAGGTAGGGAAATACTTTAGGTTTCTGTTCCATATGCATCACACCTCTCTGTCGTTAATACCATTTATGCAATATGTCAAGTAGACTTGTTCTAGATAACAGCTGAAAGCGCACAAAGTTATTTTTCCCAGCCTGAACATGTTTACTTAAAGACCTGATATCTCTGATCAAATATTTCCACCGAATGTTCTCGTTTTTAATTGTACAAAGGATAAATATTATAACACAGCTTTTCCGCAGATTTAGACAGCTTCAAGAGTGTTATTATAAAGAAATGGCCTCCTGTTTATTCAAAGATTTATACATAATCATAGATATGATACAATAATTTTTTTTAAATAACCTAAAATACGATATTATAAATTTTGTTCTTTTCATCCGTGCGCACAAATTTAAAACAATGCAAATATTGTAGACTTTCAACTCACTTTGCTGATAAAACGATTTCTCACTGTATCATCATCAAATGGGGCATAGATAAATTCCTGTCCCTGAAATCCTTTTAACAGTCTCAGAATAAAGTATATTTAACAATTAGAATGACGCTTATTATATTATGGCAACATTAACAAAATTGTTTTTTTTTTAAAAACCAACTTTAAATTCCCCCAAATGCATCAAATACTGGATGTATTTCAAAAAGGTATATGGGAAAACAACATAATGAAATGCTTCGATGTCACTCTAACTTGGATTTCAAGGGAGACTTAGCCTGCTATATCCTTAAGAGAAAAATGTCAGAACATTCTTCGTATCAACGCTAAGAGTAGTGTTCTCTAGTTTTCCATTGGTATGCAGAAGCCTTAAGGAAAAGATCTCGCGTCATACCAATTCGGTGTGTATATATCAGCATACCTATTGCTGTGGAACCAAGTACATTGGTAGTTTGATGCACATTCTGTCCAGAAGGATTCGAAAACACTATCCCGCATGGCTGCAAAAAGGTAACCATGGCTCTATAACCATTTCGTCTCAACAAACGCCTCCTACAAAGTAATCTACAGAGTCAAGAATAACCTACCATGGTAAATACTCTTTTGTTTGCTTTATACTTCTGGAGCCTAAGGGCATTCACTTGGAAAAACCAGAGTTATGTATGCAAAAGAAAATCATTCAACGACTTTTACTATCATGGTAATAGACCGTGTTAATTTCTACTTACTTGATGTTTGTGTGTCTGCTTTTCTAACTCCTTATAACTTTTGTATTTCTTCACAACTCTTACATAATTCTATATTTCTCTTTGTTTCTATGTTCATCCTAATCACAACTCATTCATTAAATTATTCATCTTGTAAAGCAACTACAATATACCTATTCAACTTCTCCTATGCACTGACTAATACTGACGACTACTTGTCGATAACTCATCACCATCCGATATCCATTCCCCTGTTTATTATGGTATTTTAATTCCTAATTGTAATTTCATTAATTTGACACTTGACCGGAAATTATTCTGGAGCTTTCTCATCCCTTTGTTATAAATTTTCTTCGCTGGAACCATCTTTTCAATAATTCCTATGATCCAATGTGTATATTCCATTAATATTTCTCAATAATAATTATAAAATTTTAATTTTTCAATGTTCCAATTCAAATTGACAGCAGCATCCACAGGGGTCACTGTTTACAGTGATTGATCCTTATGAAAATTCGAAAAAATTACTAGTGTATACTTCATCATGGATGGAACTCATTGACTTAATGAAGTGAAATAAAGTACATTACTTCAGTCTAACGCACTTCAACAAAGCACATGTAGAAGTATAGTAAAGAAATGTACTAAATCTAAAAATAGACATACATTCAATAAGTTTAATACACTAGTAAAAAGGTTCTTAAAGCTCCTCTCAAAAACAGCAAACAGTCAATAAACTGCGTAATAGTTTCAGCCTTGAAAGTCAGTGTGTTTTATAGTAGTGATCCATGTTATTTTGTAACCCTTTAGCACTGCACACGCATACAGTGTATCTCATCGATATCTCTGCTTTCAGGCTATCTGTATACATCTAAATGTGTTAACGACTAGTTTTATGCACAGTCAGATGTGTTTTATTTTCCCTTCATAAAATAGAAGAGATAAATACAACAGAACATAGGACCTCTTACGTATTCTCACTTGTTTAAGTCAATACATATTTCACTAGAAAAACTAAGCTTTAAGAATCAATGAGAAGAAGATTAGAAGAGAGATGAAAACGCTGAATGTCCGTTGACTGTTTAAATGCTTTCAATATTCAATATTTTAAAATATCAATTACTGAAAAATTATCTAGCTTTTTAGTCAAAGTTAAGATAACTTGTTACTCAACGCAAAAGACTGAACTCTTTACAAAGTAGCTTTTTTTTAGTTTAGTTTAATGTCTTAGAATCCCTGTAACTTCTAAACAATCGCCCCGTTTATTGTGGATAACTCATGAGGTAGATAGCCTGATGAAAATAACCTGTATTATTTATTCACTGTAAAAAGAAAATGGGCCCAATTATTTAAGTAATTTTCGTGTAATGATTCAATTAATTTAGCTTATTCATTAAGCATGTATTTAATTCAATAAGAGTATATGTATATCAACAAAATTTCCAAAGGAATACCCTTTTTTTTAACAAAAACTAACTACAAAAGAAGAGTGGCAATGTATAGCATGGCTACATGGTAAAATTTGAGTACTTGTCATTTAAGCGTTAATAACCTTCTGCATAATATTTCAAAAGACAATAAGTTAAACTTACCTTGTCCACTATTTCCATAGTAAACTTAGGTGATAATAATAAAAAAAAATAAAGGTAGAGATTTTAAGATAGGATTTTATTAATTTGACTACCTTATGAATATACTATTTTTTTAAAGTAGGTTGTTACTTTCATTGAACACTAGTAACTAGTGTGATGTGTCTAGTCCTTTTTTTCGTTCAGACTGAATTCTATCAGTCAGGTTTGCAATGTGGCTACCATTCTAGGTGGCTCACTATCACGGTACACTTTGAGTTGTTGATGTTAGGTGGCTGAAGGTAATGGTCAGGATGCCTTGGACCTAGGTTTCGTGCTAGTTGGCACTCGTCGGCAAGGCATATCTGCAACCTTGGAGCAACTCATGTCCCTTATTAGATTCGAATCTACGTCACCCAGTGCTGCAGTCACAGACGTTACCACTGAGCTATTCAGGCCAGCGATTGACCTCTTGTAGGATTGTATTGGATACCTTCATTGAACACTAGTAACTAGTGTGATATGTCTAGTCCTTTGTTTTGGTGCAGATTGAATTCTTTCAGTCAGGTTTGCAATGTTACTTCGACTCCTCGATTAAGTCTTTACAGAAGCATTTTATTTCGCCGAAATCAATGAAACATTCACAATGTTATAACAAGATCTACACAAAATCAATATTACATAAATATTCTCGTAGATTTCATTCCGTTGAATTCAAAAGAAATATATCCTGTATCTGAATTGAAAATTTATTTCCAGCGCCACACATTATACTCCTAATGGTCCCTCTGTTCGAATTTACTGTCCAGTCACTCATAGTTCATCTGGTGGGATATAAATCTGCTTAGAAAAATTCATAGTAATTCTCAAATTTAAGGCGAAATTTCTGATAATAAATGCCTGGTATCTACTAGTGCCACATCTAATTTCACTAGGAATCATGATAATCAAAGACTTCAATTTATTGATCTTGCCAATGAATTTTATTTTTATTTTCACGCAGAATGAAAAAGATCATTTAGATTTACGAGTTGTGGTAAAAATTCTCCCATTTTACATCTTCTTATCTAAACTGTAATCATCTGAGTGCAGTGGAATTTCGAATATTTTAAGACTTTGTTTTAATGTCTAAATATACTGACTGGCTCCAACGTCATTTGGCTCCTATTCCGTTTTGCTGTCCACACGAACACTCTTTGAGTTTGTAGTACATCCATGTTAGTTAGATAAGTTCTAGACCTTTCTCTGTGGATAATCTTGACCTTGCCATTTTACTCAAATACACTGCTAACATTTAGATATGATAGAAAAGATTTGTAGCTCAGGTGGATGATTTTGATGTGGTTGTGTTCTCTGAGCTGGATAGTTAATTTGCGAAGGGTCAAAGTTCAAGTCAAAGAAACAATCATTTCCAATACAAGTAACCTAGAAGGTGTGAAAACACACAAAAACAACCAATCACGTCTAAGGTCACCGGGAGAGATGATTAATAAACTTGTGGAGAAATCTTAAAGCTCGCTTCAACAAATTAAAGTATGCGCTGAAGATGTTGCCCAATAGGGCGATGAAAAGCTTTGCAAATTCACCATCCAGCTCAGAGAACACAACCACATCAAAATACTGTTAACAAGAGCACATTTTCTTAATAGCTGTGCATGAAGATTTTCATTTGTGTTTGTCATCAGTAATTACAGATTAGGTAGAGAACTGAATTACTGGATAACCAGGCATATTATGTTAAGTAAGGGCTAATAAAGTATAGCTTACCGACAGCACTACCAGTATCTTACAAGAACATGAAACAATCTATTAAACTAAAATTATCTCAAATAGTACAATAAATACTTCTAAACTTTTCGATTTCATATCTTTAACATTTAACGATAATCTTATATCGTCATAAATGTGTTTAAACGAAAAGTGCAAAAAAAACTCGAATAAGACGAATAGAACTTACAGAATCCTTTCGGTTGTTGAGGTGGTACAGAAGGACCAACAATAGCTCCAGTTGACGTATATAATACACCTATTATGCATAAAAAGCACCCCAGAAATAAGGAATTATAGTCACACATTTACTGAACGATTCAATACTCAGACCACTGACTAACCTGGAGTCATGACGTACTGTTGTCCTGGTTGGTACTGAGGTTGTGGAGGCATTTGAAATGGTGGTGACATTTGAGGATAAGGTGGATTACCGTACATTGGAGGAGATTGGTTTCCTGGATCTAAAATTTGTGAAAATCTGCATTGTAAAATTGCTAACAGTGAACCAGTAAGTTATATAACCTTATATCGCTTTACAGGGAAAAAATAACTGTCATGCGAAATACTAATAACTACATGCCTCTTTGAAGATACTGTGGGTAAGTGTTTTGGTTACACTGGTAGAATATATTTCTTCACATTTCATTGTAAACTATAGATGCAGTCTACGCCTCCATATTAATAATTGACTAACACTATAAGACTTCATACATTGGTGTCACGTTCTAGTCTGATCGATGCTAATTCGCTTCCAGTTTAATCTCATTTTGTCTAACACTACTGACAGAAGAAGTCAGTATCTTAGAATGTGTAACATACCCTGGCCATTTCAGTTATACAACCGATAGGTGCCACCTTGACTCTGTGGTCGGGTAGATATATTCACTCTTTTTTTATCGTCAAGATTCATCTGACAGTTTCGACTCCCATGTATATTCGTCCATTTTAGTTTCGTTACATTTCTTTCTTCAACTTTAATATATAAATCTTAAGAGAGTGGTAACTCAAAATGTTGTATTCCAGTGCAACGTTCTACGGTGGTAAGTTAATCAGTCAGTAATGCGGACTTTCTGACTACCTACCACAATAGGAATTTGTACTAAATCGTACCAATTCAATTTGACATGCTTCTAAAAGCACAGATAACACAGAGGAAGTTAGGCGAAGGAATTTTCCGTTTAAGGATTACTGATAACTTTGAAAAACTGGAATGTAAGAAAAGAGTAAGTTCGTTCGTCTCATTGTAGAGTCTTTTTAGTGGTGGTATAAATAATACATCTGACTTTTACATTTTTCCCCAGGATTCTATGCGTAGTAATCCTTCTAAACGCTGACAGTAATATGAGGGTAACAGCGGTCAAATATTCGTATTTCTTATTTCTTAACAATCACATAATAGTCCAAGATATTCAACTCAGAATAAGGTCTACAGAATTCTTCACAAATAACTTTTGTGGAAGACTTTGCTTTTTCGGTTGCATTTGATATATTCACATTTAAACTGCATTTAGCATTGGGTTGCACTGTATCCACTAGAGTGTACATAACGCACATTTTCTTTAATGTGAAGTCCTTCACTCTCCTCTAACGATCTACAGTTTAATGCCCGTAATTATTAATTTGGCTAGCGGTTGCAAAAGGTTGTGGATTGTCAGAAGTTGGAATTAATGCACTGGTCATTGGATAGAGTCTCAGTGCCTTAATGGTCTAAAAGCTCACCTTGTAGCCAGAAGGTCCTAGGTTCGAACCCTGGCGGTGGGTGAGTACTCCCGAACAGTTCCAAACTAGGGCGAAGTGGCTGTCAAGTACTCCCAGGTTTTCCAATGGTTCTCTAACCAATGTCAGCTCATGTTAAAATCCCGTAACCAATTAATTTTGTGTTGAATAACTAATTTTAGTCAGTATTTTAAAGTTTCTTAGTTTAGTATTCATCTTTTGGTCAGTGTTCACTAGCATGCTGCAGAACAAACTGTCGCTCCTGACCTGTTTTACATGCATCCACTAATTTGCCTGCTTCTGTGGGTCAAGACACGTAGTTATTGGATGCCGACCATATTTTAAAAAGCCAAGGAATACTACCCATTTTGGTTGTAGAGTGGAGAACGTGTATCGATTATAAGTATGATAATTGAACATATTTTCAGTACAGTCACTTATTTTCAAGATGCAATGGATTCACTGTTGTTTATAAAATAAAATAAAATTTTACTAAGATGGTAAACATCCGCATTTTTTGTTATGCTGAAGCACTAGCTATCCACACGCATAGGCCTATTCTGTGCACAAAATAGGAACTGGTCTAGCTAATTTTACTGTCTTTGTCTTATTATCACTTTCCTTTTTTAATGTTCGTTTAGTGTTAGCGACTGATACTCGCAGTTCTTCACTCTCATTCATCCATTTTTGTCATGCTTCCACTAATTACGTATGATTTTCCAAAATAATCGACTATTATCACACACCCAATGGGAGAAACTTATGAGTTTTCATTTTTTTTTCTACTACATTTTGATTAGTCTTCACTATCCACAGCCATCATGTTGGTTCGTTTATGATGGAAATGGTATTTTAATTTCTTTTTATCTACGTACCCAACTAACAAATTTAATTAACACACTGTATCTGATCACCAAAAGCGAATTTGTACATAAGCGCTATTGCACAGCTGTGTGACTAACCCCACTGAAAAGAGACTATTCCCTGAACTATGCTCGCTCTTCTCTTTCTGATAACTTAATGAGTATTTTTTTAATGTAGAATCCCAATAATTCAATTAATATTTAGGGTTGGTCTACCGGGATTTGATTTGATTGGTTACAGGATTTAATCATGAGCTGATATCAGTTACAGAACCATTGGAAAACCTGGGGGTACTTGACTGTATGCAGCACACGGGTTTCGAACCTAGTACCTTCCGGTTAAAAGGTGAGCTCATAGACAATTAAGCTACTGGGACCCAATCCAATGGCCAGTGCATGAATTCCAACTTCTGCCAATTCACGATTTTTTTTATTCTTATTTTTTTATTTTTGATTACAGCTTGATTCCACACTGTATTTTTCGTACAAGTATGGAATTTTCAGCGTGGATATCGGTAGCCCAAATTTTGCAGGCCGATCATAGATATCAGGTGTGCGTCGGCGTGGGCTCGAACCCCGGCCCATGTGCATGGTCGGCGAGAGTCCTAACCACTGTGCCACCGACGCCTCAACTACCTGAGAATGTCATCGGTGATTATCTGTCCTGACAACTGACCTGCTGCACTCAAATGGTCACGAATTTTCACTAGAACCCCAGGTAACTAACCACCTGAATAGGGCCAGTCGCTAGTGTGCATCAGATTAATATTCAAGTGGTTTGGATCACTTAAATAACTAATCAGTCATTCTTCTATTTCATAATTTGTAGCATTTCTAAGGTGAACGCATATCATATTAATATTCCATTAAAAACATGATCTGAAATTGTTTTTGAATAATCACATTTGATTTAGTTCACATAACAAATTTTCTAAACAGCGTTGTAACACATTTTGTAAAATTTATAATCAACTAATTCATCTCATTGCGGTAATCAATATTCACTTACAAGGCTGCATATTTTTCTGAGTAGTCGGTCGTGATAATGTAAATGTATATTTCAGTTAAAAGCTAAATGTATGAAATTCTGTAACCTTCCTTCACTAGTTTTCAAATAAATATTGACTGATTCTACAAATCACGTGATGACATAATTTAATCAAGAATTGAGTAAAGTCAAAAACTACCTTAGCCAAAATCACAGTGACCTTGAACAACCAATCAGGATTCGGATGCGAAAAAGTCGTACAGTCATCAAAAAAAGTGTATTCAAAACCACTGCAAACATAATATTAAACTGAATAATGGTATCTTATGTGTGCGTCGGTAGCACAGCGATATAGCATTCACCAGCCACATAAATGGTCCGGGGCTTGATCCGCGGTCAACGCACTCCTTCACCCCACTAAGTTAGTAAAAAGACTAGTAAAAAGGGAATGTCAGGTATGGGGCTAGAAACCCCATCTCGTAAAAATAAATACCACTGCTACCGAAATTTCATATCTCTAGCTTGAAGCCCTATATTTCACTGGAAACATAGAGCAATAAAATGTGTTACATAAACGATGAGCGGTAGTTGCATTCACCTAAGTAACTGCTAATTGTGGTGCTTTCGAGTCCATTGATTTTCCTGACTTTGCTCCATTAACTTACTCTTAACGTTAACCACAACCCTACTTCTTAGCCCTAACTTAAATGCTAAACCTAACAAAGAAAAGTGTCTAGGGAATAAGTAGAATACTGTACTTACCCTCACGAACGTCCGTTTATGAGAAAATCCGGATCTTCTCTTATGGCATGAATTGCATCTATAGTAATATTTATCTCCCACAAGGTTGTGTTGCCTTATTGTCACACTTTTCTCAAGGGAACACAAACACACAAGTCTCTGTGGCTCCAGTTAATCTGTTGCTATTGACACAGCAGTCAAATACTCAGTTTTTATATAACTCATTCACCAAGTCCCTAAAGATAGTCATGATTTGATATGGAATGATACTTTGTCATGTTCCCTAAATGTGACTGGTTCTTGAAGATCATCATCTGACACACCCTGACTTTAGCTATGGTAGTTTAACTCTATCAAGAATGGTCACTTAACTAAAATATACTCTTCAAGTAATCTACACCACAATAAAATACGGAAGTTACAGACTACGGTTTCATCTTAAAGTAAGATACTTAAGTCTTACTCATATTCATTGAACAGATCGGTAAGTAGTACGCCCGGTTGTCTCATTTCGTATAAGATATATGGAAGATACCTATAGTGTCACCTAACTACCAGTAACTCTTTTAGTGTTGCGGAGATAAAAAAAGACAGATATATTGTTGACGAGTGTCAGCTAGCACGAAACCTAGGTCCAGGGCTGCCTGCCGATTGTCGCCAACTATCTAATTCACCTTTCTGTTGAAATAATCTTCGATACTGGGAATTCATGAAAACAGTGAAAAGAGGAAAGGTTCCAGTATTGCCACTGGTCACAAGTCAAAACACATTAAGTTACGACATCAAGTTAGGTAATACAAAAGAAGATGCAGAACGGGAAAATAAACATGGGATTTAGAGAATAAATACTGTCAAATAAGAATATACTCATTTAGACAGTCACCTCAATAGAATGACCATGACGAAAACATTGGTAGAAAATGCTGTTTGAAACATAATTTCTGGTGGAATTTTAACACAGTCAGTGTCTTAGCTATGTTTACATGTCCTAATATATGTGTGAAACTTGAGCAGTGTGTTGGTAGTTAATTCCATATTAGCCCGGTCAAAGGATTTCATCATGAGCTGATATCGGTTAGAGAACCATTGGAAAACCTGGGAGTACTGCTAGACAGCTGTTTCGTCCTAATTTGGGACAGTTCAGCAGTACGCACCCACCGCCATGGTTCGAACCCAGGACCTTCTGGCTACAAGGTGAGCTCGAACACCACTGAGCTATTGAGACCCGATCCAATGGCCAGTGCATGAATTCCAAATTCTGCCAATTCACTACATAGCACAATTGCTAACCAAAGTCTTCGGACAGCATTTATCCTCACACCCGACTTGCTGCACTCTGCTGGTCAAGGCATCTCTCTAGAACCCCAGGTGACTACCAACCTGAATACGGCCAGTCTCTAGTGAGTGTCTCATTGATTTTCAAATAGCGATCCGGATGAAAAACCGTGATTTATGTACACAGAAGAAACTTCTTCACCTGCTCCATCTGCCTTGGGTATAATTTCAATTTCGACTACTTTGTTACTAATATTATTTTTGGATTTTTATATGACATTTTGCAAGAGCAAAGAATAGATGGCAAAATCAGACGACCTTGAACCAACCAATCAGATCACTCAGCATAACATATGGATGCTTTTAATAATCTTCGCTGCAAGTTTCACCCTGAGTTATGGTTCAGATGAGGTTATAATTAAGGCAAGGCAAATTTTGCAACGAAGATCAGGTTTAGGATGAAACTTGCAACAAAGATTACGAAAAGGATCCATTTGTAATGCTGAGCAAGCTGATTGGTTTGTTCAAGTTCATTTGATTTTGGTGTATATTCTTTACTGTTGTCTGACATTCCAGTAACATCTTTTCTTAGCTAACCCTTTATTTACTCTTTCCACCTACTATATAATTTATTTTGGACACTTGTCTCCATGCTCTTTCATTAACATCCTATTTCGCTGGGTGTCTTTCATGTTACGTAACACTAGTCAAGACTTACACACACACACACCCTTAGTTACAGTCTGATTATTCATATCTTTTTTTGAAATATTTTGATGAGGCAAACATTAACCCTAATTAATTTTTACTCTTTTTTGATTCATGAATAATTCCCATTCGAACATTAGTAGACAGAAGACAAGTAGTTCAGCGAAGAGTCTCTTTTCGGCGAATTCATTTTCATAGCTGTACAATCGCAAATATATATGGTTATTTTGTGTGTGTGTGTATACATTAAATTTGTCAAACGAAAATACAATTAGTAGGTTCAGATGAATTGGATGTTGATAAGAGGATAGCAACAAAAGTGATGAGTTGTCATAAATGATTGTTAAATAAGAGTTACGTAATGGCATGAATAGTTTGATGAATGAGTTGTGCTCAAAGGGTGTACATGGAAACAAAATAATATACAGAATTACACAAGGGTTTTAAGTTAGAAAAATAAGCATACAAACAGAAGTAAGGTCAAATCAAACAAACAAAGAAAAGTTAGGTCAAATCAAAGGAGTAGTTACCATGCGAGTAAAAGTGGTTGGATAATTTTCTTTTGTATGCATAGTTCTGGTTCCTCCAACTGGATGGCTAGGGCTTCTGCGATGCAAAGAAGACGGAATCGTACTGTCTTTGGAAGGTTGTTCTTCACTTTGTAGATTACTTTGAAGGAGGCGTTCGTTGAGATGGAATGACCAGTATTGACGAGATGTTCGATTATTGCACTCCTTATATGGCCATTATTTCCTTTCTGTAGCCACGCTGGATAGTGTTCTTTTACCCTTTTAGACAGGATGCGCGTTGAACGACCGATGTACCTGGCTCCACAGCAACAGGTGAACTGATATATACACATAGAAGTGTATATATCAGTTCACCTGTTGCTGTGGAGCCAGGTACATCGGTCGTTCAACGCGCATCCTGTCTAAAAGGGTAAAAGAACACTATCCAGCGTGGCTACAGAAAGGAAATAATGGCCATATAAGGAGTGCAATAATCGAACATCTCGTCAATACTGGTCATTCCATCTCAACGAACGCCTCCTTCAAAGTAATCTACAAAGTGAAGAACAACCTTCCAAAGACAGTACGATTCCGTCTTCTTTGCATCGCAGAAGCCCTAGCCATCCAGTTGGAGGAACCAGAACTATGCATACAAAAGAAAATTATCCAACCACTTTTACTCGCATGGTAACTACTCCTTTGATTTGACCTAACTTTTCTTTGTTTGTTTGATTTGACCTTACTTCTGTTTGTATGCTTATTTTTCTAACTTAAAACCCTTGTGTAATTCTGTATATTATTTTGTTTCCATGTACACCCTTTGAGCACAACTCATTCATCAAACTATTCATGCCATTACGTAACTCTTATTTAACAATCATTTATGACAACTCATCACTTTTGTTGCTATCCTCTTATCAACATCCAATTCATCTGAACCTACTAATTGTATTTTCGTTTGACAAATTTAATGTATACACACACACACAAAATAACCATATATATTTGCGATTGTACAGCTATGAAAATGAATTCGCCGAAAAGAGACTCTTCGCTGAACTACTTGTCTTCTGTCTACTCTTTTTTGACACAGCTAATGTACACACATACAAAAATAAGTATATATATATATATATATATATATATATATATATATATAATTGCGACTGTACAGCTAAGTGAATGAATTCACCAAAAAGACTCGTCGCTGAACTATTTGCTCTTACTACATTGACTCACAAATATGACATGAAATGCAATATGTTTGCAGTTATTACCGTCCACTTATATAAGAAGAAGTAATAAATCTCAATCTCGCCGCATTGACAATAACAGCCTACTGCATAACACAGAAAGCATACAATAACTGTCAACAAATTTATTCATATTTCGATAAAGGAAGACGAAATTTGCGGTATAAAATGATACCATTCTACTTCACAGGTCCTCATCATCTGCAGACTACTTGAAATTACAATGGTTATATAGATGATAATAACATACTTCAACGTTTAATTGGTAGTAGAGAAGAGATACTATAAAACTAACGCATCCAAAATGAAAGTATTACAATTTTTAGTTTAAGTTCTCATTATCAATTTATACGCTTTCAAAGTAGAAGAGAGGAGGGAGGGGTAAGACAGAGAACATAAAAATTAATTAACAGAATAGTGTTGGCTTGTAGGTTCACATTGCAACTCAAAAAACAAAAGTGGTTACAGTTTATGAGATTAAGACTTGTTCAGTGAGTTGAGATCACTGAATTAGATGACTAATTAATGTAATCAAAATCAAAATT